GCCGAATTCCCGGTATATAGCACTGACGCGGGGTTAATTTGATCAATTGCTAGTCGGATTTTAGGAAAGCAAAGCGGCAGTTTGTATGACATGGTTTTTATGTTAGATTTTTCATGATTCCTATAATATAAAATTTCACATCGTATGGCGTTGGGTGTGGTTGCGATGTTAAAATGAAGCAAAAGATAATAATGAAAGCATTTTTCATTCATTGTGTTACCCTAAACAGACGTATTGTTGAATGTAAAGCCCACCGCTCTGAGAATCTAGTCATTTGAAGTCGTTCAACTTTGATAACTTTCATGGATCCAAAACTGAATGAATGTGCTTGCAAGGAGAAGCGATATTTGCAGAAAGGTTCAGAGCATATTTCCTGGACTTTATTCAGAAGTGATTGAGTCTTTTTTGGAGCACGGAGTTGACCATTTCAACATGAGGTAGAACATGTGATTACATTCACATCGTTACATATTCATTATGATGTGACACAAACATTCGCTCCATTTGGATGTACAGCTCATTACATTTGTCTACCACGTAACCCCATCTACTAGCCTAATGAATCATCATGTGTTTCTAGGTCGATAGGTAGCACATATACCTTTTTAACATTCGAGTCTTAGTGAACGCACGTGGTGTGTCTTAGTGAGCGCATTGCAACCAGTTGCTTCCAACAAGGACATTGTAAGAGATGAAATGACTAAGAGAGCTAGATATCTCCATAGAATATGTTCCATAGATTACAAAAGCTGGCCAAAGTAAATAGAAAAAATGATGGAAAGAACCAACAAGGAGTATAATGATGAAACCAAACTAAAAAGTAGACCCAGAACTTTCATGAGGGGCATATGTTTTACAATGAGAGTTTTATTTTTATTAACAAATAAAATTCATAATTACTAGGTGTATCTTATTGTGTGATCTTGTATCATCGAAATTGATTGATCGTTTGTGTAGAGCATTTTCTAGTGTTGTTTGTGAAGTTTTCTAATATATGCTAGAAAAAGGTTTGAGAAATTATATAACTGGTGCCTGTACATCAAACAAGTTCTGATAATATATATGCATAAGTTATGTACAAGTGCAGTCGACTAATGTTTAAGTCTATGTTACAAACTATACTGACCTAAGGATGATACAGGTTGAATACATATCTTTTTCAAAAAATTTGTGAGAATTCCATCAGATAGTTCTATCGGACGAGGGAGTGAATTTGTCATCCTTGGACCTTGAGATTGAGGACTGAAGATGATGACTTATGTCACGACATCCATGATGACATTGTGGTTAATAATATGCTTGCACGTATGCCAGTATGGACAATTTGATCACAGTGTGTTGTTGAAGTATCTATGTACATTTGTTTTAGTTGACACTTTCAGTCCAAAGAGTAACTTTAAGTTCTACGAAGAGTTTGACAATTGATATGAGATAAATATCTTCATAGATGAAAAGATGAGAAATTTTGACTTTTATAATATATATATTTTGATAAAAAATTTATGATATTTTATGACATCATTCAATCTAGCACACAAACGTTACATTGCCAATCCATATGTACCTTGATCATTGGTTTGGATTTGTAAAAACTACTTTTAATGGAATTTAACAATATACGAGTGACTATAGCCAGTTTCATGAAAGTGTGTTGAAATTTGAAAGTTTTAAGTTTAATGGGATTATGGCCCTACTACATAATTTTCTTTTGCTATGGAGAGGAAAAGATTGTTGTTAATATTTAGAGAGATAAATCAGGAATTGAAGATACATTTGTATATTTTTTATGTAAAACAATTATTTTATCTTTTCAAGATTTAAAGAAAGAGTATACAAATTTAGTTAACCTTTGACGTAAATTGAGGTTGTTGTTATCTCACTTTTGTAGGCAATGTTGTGACTTGAACAACAGTAGGGGAGGGTCGGCGGACCATACATTCCGGCAACCATGTAGATGCCATCAACCGGATGAAATTCCAACAACCATGTAGAAGAGAAGCCGTCACTGTAGAGGCTGCAACGTTGTATCTATTGTGTTGCAATGATCTACGCCGTAACAATGATCGCGATCGTGTCCTGGAACGTTGCGGGTACTAAAAACTAAAACTGAACCGCAAGAGGGATAGCTCATATGGAATCCCTAGTGTTCAAACTGTAATATTTGTAATCAAACGGTGATAACATATCGTATAGTACGGCCGTTTGTAAAAGTTCGTGCAACTAAGCGAGTCGTGTGAAGAATAAGTTTAATGGGATTATGACCCTACTACATAATTTTCTTTTGCTATGGAGAGGAAAAGATTGTTGTTAATATTTAGAGAGATAAATCAGGAATTGAAGATACATTTGTATATTTTTTATGTAAAACAATTATTTTATCTTTTCAGGATTTAAAGAAAGAGTATACAAATTTAGTTAACCTTTGACGTAAATTGAGGTTGTTGTTATCTCACTTTTGTAGGCAATGTTGTGACTTGAACAACAGTAGGGGAGGGTCGGCGGACCATACATTCCGGCAACCATGTAGATGCCCTCAACCGGATGAAATTCCAACAACCATGTAGAAGAGAGGCCGTCACTGTAGAGGCTGCAACGTTGTATCTATTGTGTTGCAATGATCTACGCCGTAACAATGATCGCGGTCGTGTCCTGGAACGTTGCGGGTACTAAAAACTAAAACTGAACCGCAAGAGGGATAGCTCATATGGAATCCCTAGTGTTCAAACTGTAATATTTGTAATCAAACGGTGATAACATATCGTATAGTACGGCCGTTTGTAAAAGTTTGTGCAACTAAGCGAGTCGTGTGAAGAATAAGTTTAATGGGATTATGGCCATACTACATAATTTTCTTTTGCTATGGAGAGGAAAAGATTGTTGTTAATATTTAGAGAGATAAATCAGGAATTGAAGATACATTTGTATATTTTTTATGTAAAACAATTATTTTATCTTTTCAGGATTTAAAGAAAGAGTATACAAATTTAGTTAACCTTTGACGTAAATTGAGGTTGTTGTTATCTCACTTTTGTAGGCAATGTTGTGACTTGAACAACAGTAGGGGAAGGTCGGCGGACCATACATTCCGGCAACCATGTAGATGCCCTCAACCGGATGAAATTCCAACAACCATGTAGAAGAGAAGCCGTCACTGTAGAGGCTGCAACGTTGTATCTATTGTGTTGCAATGATCTACGCCGTAACAATGATCGCGATCGTGTCCTGGAACGTTGCGGGTACTAAAAACTAAAACTGAACCGCAAGAGGGATAGCTCATATGGAATCCCTAGTGTTCAAACTGTAATATTTGTAATCAAACGGTGATAACATATCGTATAGTACGGCCGTTTGTAAAAGTTCGTGCAACTAAGCGAGTCGTGTGAAGAATAAGTTTAATGGGATTATGGCCCTACTACATAATTTTCTTTTGCTATGGAGAGGAAAAGATTGTTGTTAATATTTAGAGAGATAAATCAGGAATTGAAGATACATTTGTATATTTTTTATGTAAAACAATTATTTTATCTTTTCAGGATTTAAAGAAAGAGTATACAAATTTAGTTAACCTTTGACGTAAATTGAGGTTGTTGTTATCTCACTTTTGTAGGCAATGTTGTGACTTGAACAACAGTAGGGTAATCCAATCATTTCACAACCTGAGATTCCCGAACCATAGATCGAGAGGAAGAAAAGAATACTCTTAAGAATAAGTCCAAAGATAAACCCCACACAAAAGAGGGGACAAGGATGAGAAATTGACAACAAAAAACAAAAAAAAACATGCACGGGGTAAAAACATAAAACCAAATAGTTTTTGAAATACCGATGTTGTTTCTAAAGTACTTCCTTTTTTTTTTAAGTTAATCGGTTTATGTTAACTATCACTCACCCTACAAAAATGATATAAATTGCTTAAGGAGAGAGGTGTGTGATTTGTCAAAGTGATCTCATTTCAAAATGAACACAATTGCTCCACCGCAAGAGGTTTTCCACGCATCATTGGACGCTGTGCTATAGGCAATGAAAGTTTCCGTGTTGAGTCGCCATCATGATTAAATGTAATACATGATTAAATGCAGACATAGTGTGAAGAATAATTAGCATAAATTGAGGTATAACCAAGATTCTCTAAATACCGCAACTACAGAATTAGAGAGCCTTGATTGCAGTATTTTGTTTTCAGAAAGTTTTGTATTTCCAACAAAAAAGTCTTTGTTATCTAGGTGGCTTTACTAGAGAAACTAATGAAAGTACTCAACTAAATCTTTGGGGTTAGACCTCATCAGAACGGACTCATTAAACTAAAACTTTCCTGCGACCGTTTGTGACCATGTCTATGTTCATCTAGGTTGCTTTACTAGAAAAACTAATGTAAATACCCAACTAAAACTCTGCGGTGACCGTTTGCGACAATGTCTTCGTTTATCTTGGTGGCTTTACTAGAGAAACTAATGGAGGTACTCAAATAAAACTTTGGGGTTACACCTCCCCAGTTCAACCAGGCAAGTTCTAGTATTTTGTCTCCTTGCTTACACGAGGAACCTGTAACTTTGAAAACACGAGAAATTCAACTAGATCTAAAATATCAAAATCGTCTCAAACTTTTTTGGGAAAAAAAAGTACATAGATAAAATAGTGAAAGAACACAAAAAACTTCTGGTTTTTGTGAATTGAAAACTTAGACTTCGCAATGTTCTCGTTTCACACAATTCTATTGACAAAACGGTCTCATTTAGATTTACTCAACTCACCTAGTTTTTGAGAGTATTAGTTTATCCATTCGGATAAACATATGGTTGTATGGAAAGTGATTTCTCAGTGTTTACATGGGAAATTGATATTCACATATCAAGATAACGCTCATCTCTCTCTCAAAGGTGTATTACATTGTCGTCAAATTCTGCCTAAAATATGAGAGATTTTTATCAAATTCCGTATATTCCGTATTTTGATTTGAAAATAATCCTTATTTTGTTGAGATACGGAACATACGACTGGATATAACTAACTGCTCCCAAAATAAAAGAACTTTCAACTTAGAAACTCCCTCGTGGTTCAATAGGCAATATGGATCCATGGGGAGTCCGGGAGGCATGTAGTCATCGGGTCATGGAGCCCGCCGAGTCATTCGCTTCCGAGGAGTATAACGTTGTACAATACTTTGAGAGGCAAGACAGCTCATGGGCGGCCGCTACTGCTTTATCCTACCCCTTTTGCCTTTACTGTAAATGACTGCAAAGGGTGAATATGCGGATCTCAAACCGACCATTCTCGAGCGAGCAGTTCAGCTGCGCTCGATGAGACGAGCACGAGTAGTACATGACACGGATTGAAATTTCAGGGGCTTGAATACTAGGAATCTTTTTCCGCCTGAACTGCCATTTACATCGTCGGTGTTGTTGCGTTTGCCCTCCAACATTTTCGGGTAAATTCGCTGCTTCAGCTCTGAAAAGTAGGACCCCATTCGCGGATGTGAAGTTCGCCACTGGCTCGTTGGCTGGCTGGCAGTCATAGTTTGGCTTCTAGATACCGGATGTCCTGTGCCTTCATCCGGATATGCCGCCACATACTTTATGAGTATCGTGTAGCGTGGACCATGAAATTTTGTTTTATGCCTTGAAAGCCACGACCCATTCGTCGTCAGTGAACGGAACGAAGGTGGGCACAGCTGCTCGCTCGGAAGCATCTCCTTTTGATCTTTAGAAAGGGAACACATCTCATTCACATTCCAAACACTTCTTCTAACTTGATGCACTTTAGTTACCAATGGCGAAAAGAAGTATATTTGAATGTTGAAGCTTGCAGCGTCGACTACCTGCGTGATTTCAATGTTTTTAAATCAGAGACAAATGGACCAAGGACGATGGCCACCACAGCTGGCACGAGCCCAACCGAGTCCATGGAAGGGGCAGACAAAAAGATTTTGGTGGATCATGAAGCAGAAAAATGAGATGATTGGAGAGCTCCAATTTGTTGTCTCCGTTCCGAATGGGTCGTGGGAGTAGTAAAATGATCGGAGAGGGGAGGCATGAGTGAGTACAGAGTGCACATCATTCACCTGCTCATTGTCTATACATAAACATGATGAGTTGTCACTTTCAGGCACTACTTACAAGTCCTCATTCTGCTGGGCAGTATCAGCAGGAGTATCTCCTGAGAGACGCCCGTACGGAACTACAAGTATATTTGTGTTCTCATATTCAGATGACCCATGTTCCTCACGCGAATGCACTGCAATTCCGTGATCGTTTCTTCACTGATACGCGGTCGAATCATCCACTTAATTTGACGATCATCGCTTCCCCATATGGGATATTTATGAGATTTTAACTCTTCGGCTGCTTCTGTGAAGGCTAGTTCGTATCAAGTGGAATTTCTTTCCTTACTATTGCACTGAAACACCTTCTGTATACCAGACCTCGTTGTTCACTCGTTGAACTCCCTCAAGTGTTCAATGTTCATACCTAAATCTTCGCAGTCGTCCTGCCAAATCGTCACCCTACATTTCGAGTTCTCAGTAGGCTTTAAACTGCCGATGGGAAAGGTGGAGAAGCAACGCGACAGGGTTCAAAGCAAAATTGACAGGTGATACACACAACGCTCGGCTTGAAGCGATGTATGCAGAGTGAGTAAACCCTAAACTCATAATCATAACTCCTAAGGTCTAGTGCGTCTGCGTGCAAACCCAATGAGCTGCAACCTCCCAAACGATGGGAACATGCTGAGCGGAAAGAACAGACCGAGGTCCCACCGACTCGTTCGCCGGTTCCCTAGAGCATACGCAAGCAGAAGCAGCAGCAGCCGCAGTGAAATTGCAGAACATGATCCTGCTGCAGGGCAGCTCCCGTAGCCACCATCGGACCAATCTCAGCTTTTCATCACCGGTCTCCATAAAACCACACCGAACACGAGAGAACGGTAATCCTCTGCTCGGCCGGATTTTATAAATCTGATCGCAAGGCCTCAAACTTTCCCTCCGACAAAATACGCATATGAGGGAGCGGAGCCCCGAAACCTAAAAAGCGCAAATGACCACGAGACCAGAAGAAACCTTCGAAAACAACAATTGTTTCAAGGGTGGGTTACGACGTTACTACCACTTCCGGCCCAGGGGCAGGGAGAGGCGGTGACCGCCGAGTAAAAGCCCAGAGAGAGAGAGAGCGTCGAGAGGACATGTGCTGTGGGACAGAGCGCGCCTTTTTGCGTAACTGCCAAAGAAGAGAAGGCAGGAAGCAGAGCGTGCTCAGATCGGAAGGTCGGGAGCGAACGTTGGGTACGAGCGGTGGAAAGATCAGATGTGCCGGTGGACTGCATGTCACGCAAATGGAGGTCGCAGAAGTACCTCCTCGTCGGAGCCCCCACTTTACAGATAACGAGCGTGGATGAGCACGGAACGATGAGGAATAAGCATCCCCTCTGAACGGGCTTCCGGGTCATCCACAGTGTAAAACCTCGATAGTAGATGAGCTGGAAACACTGAATGACAAACATTTGGGTTTGTATCTCTGCCTTGCTTCCCATCTTACATTTCAAGTCTTATAATAGAAATTTGAAATGTAGGATTAGTACAAATGATATTTCTGCATTTAAAAGTTACAATTTATCAGATGTGCTTTGATGTGATTTGAGATTGAAATACTCCAAGTTTTCGTCATATGATTTTTTCCTTTAAAACTTAACATGATTGACATTCCTTGATATTGTGATAGTTTCTATTAGATGACATTCAAGAAACTGTTGGACATGGATATACACTTATAGTAACAAATGAACTATAAAATCCAAAATTTGCCATAATGCTTATCAAGACCTAATCTACATCTGTCTTCAGATTTTGATGAAACATCTTCTCAAGAATAAAATATTTAAGTTTATTCTAATAATAAATATCTATCATTCCATTTTTTTTTCATAAAAAAGGTTTTTTTAAAGAAGTAAAACAGCTTGACATTGATTCAAAAGTGACTTTTTATTCTTCTTTAAGTACTTTTTATAAGATATTTTAGAAATACAAATTATAATATTGTGACTCAAATTTTGACAAAAAGAAGAGAATAGTTTTTTTTTGGAAAGCAAAATTTGTATCTAATTATGTAAAGTGGTCTTTAAAAAAATCTATAAAAAATTTTGATAAACGTATTAGGAGTTGATTCAAGTTAAATTTTATTGAAGTTGATTGGGTTATAATGACAATTAATAAAATATTAAATAAATAATAATAAAATATATCTATTTAAAGGGTCTAGAATTAAGATTTTAAATAACTTCATTGCAAAAAATTTCATATTACAACTAATTGTGACAATTTTTTCTATACAATACTCTTTGATAATGTATGGGAGTTTTAATATTGTTTTCATCTAGTAACACATTGATTAGAGACAACATATGATGATTGTATTTTAGTCAATTCAAGAGTTCAAGATTTTCAAGATTTTTCAAGTTCAATTTTTTCAATGAAACAAATTTTTTTGAGAGATTTTAATTCGTGGAATTTTAAATCAATACAAATTTAATGATGAATTGGATCAAAATCACCAAACAAAACATAAAAATTCATGGCTTTTTCACCGTGAATTTAAAATGATGCCATAGAGTATAATCTTTTAAATCTTTTAAAAGTTTAAATGTTCATTATTGGAATAGATATGATTCATATACTTGCTTTATACATATGACATGAAGATTGAAATATGCATTGATTGTCATATTTTCAACTCGCAAGTGAATGAATGATGAGATGTGATTTTAAAGCTAAAACGTTGATTTCAAAAATTTGAAGTAATACTTCAATATCATAAAAAAATCAAAATACGACATTCAATAGATTGAAATGATGGATAAATTTATTTTAAATGTGGTGGAAGATCAGATTTTACTGCATTTCTAAATGATTGAGGATTTTAGTGCAATCAATATTGTTACATAATAGACTTCACTAACATCGAGATTGATGATAGGTTAAACTACAAGATATTGATATGCCTGATCCACAAAACAAAATCTAAAATTTGACTTCTATGCATAAATTACAAATTGTCTACCATGCAATATTGGATTGGGTTTGACATGTGTGTCAAGAATTCACTAGAATATGACACCAAAACATACAACTAACACATGTCAATAATGTGTCATAGTTGGGATTGTGTATTATCTTAAATAGATAATCCAAAATGAGTATAAAATGCAAGTTTAGTACTTGAAAAAAATTTTAGTCTTGAAATTCATGTTGAAGTCATTTACTTGAATGCCACATTTAACTTGGACTTTTTCTAAAGTAATTCTTTTTTTGAAGTTCCCTATTTTCCGTATTTAGAGAGGCCTGAGTATGCCCGTCAGTTCATGATCGTGATAACATCTCCCTTCGAGCGATAGTTCGAGTAAGTACGGATTCTTTACTTCTCATTGCCGGCCTGGAACAAGTCTTAGGAGATCAACCTCACATCTTAGAGGTACAAGGTATACTCAGGCCTCTCTAAATATGGCAAATACGGAATTTGAAAATACGATTTACGTATTTCGTTTTCAGAAAGTTCAGTATTTCCAACAAAAAATCTTTGTTATCTAGGTGTGTTTAGTGGAGACACTAACGGAGTCCCAACTACAACTTTGGGGTGACCCTTTGTGACAATATCTTTGTTGATCTAGTTGGTTTTACTAGAGAAATTAACGGAAATACTCAGCTAAAACTTTGCCGTTGTGAAAATTTCTTTGTTGATATCGGTGGTTAACTAAAGGAGTTACTCGACTAAAACTTGGTGGCTACACCTGAAGAGTTCTACCAGGCAAGTTCTTGTATTTTGTTTTATTGTTTACCTCAGTAATCTATAGCTTTGAAAACACGAGAAATTATTCATCTAGTTCTAAAATATCAAAATAGTCTCAAACTTTCTTGGGAACAAAAGTATATAGATAAAATAGTGAAATAAAACAAACAACTTTTGGTTTTTTGAGAACGGAGAACATCACGAAGTCGAAGTTCTTTGGTGACTGAAAAGTCAGGTTAATAGATTTCTTTTGTCGGAATATTAGATTGAACATTATCCAACGGTGTGGAGAGTGATTTCTCGGTGCTGAAATGGTAAAAGTTTATTCAGAGATAAATAATAACACCCACCTCTCTCTCGAAGGTGTATTACATTGCACTGGAATTCCGCCGAAAACGTGAGAGATTTTTGTCAAGTTCCATATATTCCGTATATTCCGTATTTTGATTTCAGAATTATCCTTATTTGGTTGAGATACGGAACATAAGGAATCCGCGCTATATAGAGAGGCCTGGTTATACTACCGACAGACCCATTCCGGAATGGGCAGAGCATTGTACGCGCGTTTGCTCTTTAATGAACATAGCCTTTGAGAAAATCACACCGAAGCCTAACAGTTGGTGTAAATTCTCACGTTTCGAACATAAATCGTCTGCAGAGCAGCTGAATGCGCAATTAAGTTTTGACCTAATGCTGGACCACAACCTTTTTGCGGGTACTCTCTTCCTGTTTCCAGATACATCACCTGCCAGGCGATCAAATCCAAAGTTGATTCTTAAGCACGAGAGTAACACTTGACGGTAATCACTGGATGATGAACTACAACCTACATGCTGGTACCTCCACTATTCGCATATACTTCGTCTGCCGAGAAATCAAATCCCCAATCGATTCTTTATTCCACAGTATGGCGAGCGTTTAAGCAATTGTCAGTAATCACCAGGTGATCGACCAACTGTTACATTGCTGGATTGAGAACGTCGAGACAAGTGTTGTTGCATTGGAATTCGTGATGGAGTTCATTTCTCAAACCATAGACTCGATACATGAGACATGAGACTTAGAAAGGTCGACACCAACACGGACTCCAAGAGAGACTTGAACTTGCACGCTTCTGGGCCATTAGTAGTGATATTACCAAAGATTTAGAGTGAAAACTCCTTCAGAATTCATGTGCAGAAACTGTGGGTATTTATAATGTCGAGGAATTGTGGCTAACGTAAGAGTATATCCTCCGTAGCTTCAAGAGCTCTCTTTCACGGCCAATCTGTGGGCGTGGAATACTTGCCTGAAAAGATCATGCACAATACTTTATAGCGTGAATTCCAAAATATGGAAAGGACGACCAGCGCACGAACTGCTAAAACGATCTGCTCCAGCACAGTTCCGTCTTTCCTCCAATTCAGACCAGGATGTTGCTACAAGAACGTACAACAGAAGATTACATATACAGACCTGTGTCTCCATTATGCATTACTTTTTGGCTGAGAACCGTTTGAGCTTAATGGTCTTGGAGCTTACTGGTCATTTCTCCAGGTGTTCCAGTGTCTACCTCTGCTGTGCGCATGATCATGGTTTCGACTGGATGACCGTACATTTCTGCCGCCAATGTCATCACCTCTCCTTCCATACGAACCTGAGGGTCCACAGTGACCCTTGTCCATATCTCTCCAATTCCTGGACTTACTTCTTGCATTGTTCTCCTCGCTCCGTTCGTCATATGCTTCCGGCACCTTGTTCATGTGCCTGTAGTTGCCATAGTCACCAAATGAAGCATCATTTGAACTACCTTCAACTCGACTGTCATGGACTTGTAAAGGTGTCCTGAAACTCCGCTCCATACCTTCGTGGTGGCGGGACCTACCTCTGACTCTGTTAGAATCATGACCATGAGGATTCTTCTCGGGAATTGAGTTCCAGTCTTCAACCTGCCGTTTCCTACCTCGGGTATACCCATCATAATGTGACAGAGGTGCCCGGGAGTAGGACCTGTCGAAGTCTTCGTGATCCCTTGCACCTATTCTGTGGGTGATCTCATGTTCCCTACTCCCGACATTGTAAGCATTGTCAAAAGGCCTGGACCCAGGCGTGTGAGGAAATTCGGGGTCCCTAGAGATATCTCTGTAAACATGTTCTCCGCCCCGTAATCTTCCTTTAAGAATGCTTTTATCCTTTGGTAAAAGCTCTCTTTCTCTTAGCCTTCCAGTGTAAGGGCTTCCACCTCTGTAAGAACACCTACTATCTCTTGACCATCCTCTCTTATCCTCAAGGTGGCTCATGCCTGCTCCAGGTACCCGAGTTCTGGAACTATAATCCACATGAGGCACAGGAGAATGCCAAGGTCGTCCCGTGCTAGGCCGATTATCAACAGGGCCCCGATATTTGACTTGGATGTTTTGATGATCCAATTCCCGCTCACGGCTTTGCCACTCTCCATGACCTCCCCATCTGTTCAACATAACAGAATCCATTACACCAAGCTGTCCTCGATTCTGCTGTTGTGGATCAGGGCCTCTGTTGAACCACTGGTTGCCGCCATCGGTACAATGATTATAGATTTTATGAGAATCAAAGCCGCCTTTACTCCACTGCCCGTCCGCAGGAATAACTGACGTGCGCCTTCCACTGGGTGGAGCTTGCCTGGAATCAGCATAATTACTCCGCTGGGACTGCACGTAAAACTGTCCGTCACGATTGGGAGGTAATCTACCACGAGCCCTATCCCTATCATGGGAAGACTCCCTGGGATCGAATTTACGTGAATCCCCATGGCTAGGTGGTCTGCCCAGTGTTCCATCGATATTAGGACCATTGGTACCATCAAAAGAGAGGGGATCTCTCTCACATGTAGCATTTTGAGACGTGTCTACAACTCTGCTCAATCTCTCGGCAAAGTCACGAGGAGATCCTCCATGCTCGCCGACACGGTACTCTAAGCTTTCCTCTACTGTGCTTCCAAATTTCGTCCTAGATCTCTTCCGCTGGGGACTGGCGCAGACATCGGAGTCAGGTTTAGTTAAGCTCACACTGTTGGCTACTGCAACCACTTTCTCTTCCTGCTTGGGGGAGGCAGGAGGTTGCCCGGGAGAGGCAGGAATCTCGGTTCTGTCTTTAACCGAGCTGAAAAACAAATAATGTTCATCTCCGTGATCGAGGCTTGGCATGCCGATAGGATGCTTTTGAAGATACACTTGGACATTCGCAGAGGCAACAAGACCTTTTAAGTAATTGCACAGCTCCCCAGCTGCAAACGACGAAAGAAAGTATCAATCAAAGAATCGAGGAAAATAATAGTTGGAAATCTAGAATGATCCTGTATTCCTGTCGGACGTACGACAGAAATCAATATCTCTCGCGATATATGAGACAGGAAATGTTGAATTTCACATAAAGATGAACTTGTACCAAGATAATTGTCTTCTGAACAAGTCGCTTTGTAAGTTGCCGGAAAAATTCCTGTGTGTGGCTAATGGATGAGAAAAGTAGAAACAGTCAGGAGAGGCCACAATACGTAAAAGAAATCTAATCACAGACATAGATGTTAGAACTCATTTCAGCATGAAGCGGAAGACACCGGGCTATCTTACGACATTGCTAAACAGTGTAATTCAGACATGTATTCGTTACATGCCTGAACTGCACTCGGTGAAGGTACTCACCGGATTCTTGAGAGCCTTGTAAGGTGAATCATCGATAAGAACTGTATTTGAGGGGCCGAAATCTCCTCTCTCCCAGGGAAGGTCCGGCTCAGTTTTATCCCATAATTTTGACAATTCTTTCAAAAAAACAGGCTTGTATTTATTTTCTGGATGCTTCAACTTCGTGTCCGTACAGTGAGTCTGATGCTGCACACCGTAAACGAATGCAAACATCAGGATGCGGGATGAGAAAATCTTCATAAACCCGTTGGAAATTTCAACACCACATACATACCATCTACACACATAAGCCCGTCAAGTTTCAGTCCGTGCTCTTTCCTTACCCAAATAAAGGCCAGCTTGTCCTTAGCTTCTTTGAACGTGTACTCCACAAGAGACATCACATTGTGTCTGAAAAAATCACACATGCTCGAATATGAATGCAGTAGACAGTCAACCACTTGTAAAACAAGAATAGGATATATCCCTGAATATGTCCCTTACAAAATGTCAATTTTGAAACCTGTGAACGAGCAATCTGCAGGTCATAAAGTCCGAAAACAGGAGAAACAAGCAAAACACGAGATCCACGTACTCGCGCGCTGATGACCATACGCCAACGACGAAGTTGTCGAGGCAGTACTGCACAAACTCCTCGCAGCCAGTTCTCTTGTAAACTGAACACAAACCGGAGACGCCGACATCACTCACTTGATGTCTGGCACATTGAACAAGAAACGGACCACTAAAGAATACACTGCCTCAGTCAGGAATTATACTATGCCAAAAGTACACCTTTCAGACGGCATTCACGGCATATTATAGACCTTCAGAATAGGCCATGGTCCCGATCTCGACGTGAATGTTGCAAAACTATCTAATCAGGCGCAACTCCAACCACCTATACGAATTGTTCACAAGCTCCCTAGGCTGCATGTCCAAAGAACTTGCAGATCTGTATTTAGATAAGAAAGCCTGGGAAGCAGGACGCATTAGAGAGGCAATCAATACCGTAGAACCTATTGATTTTCGCGTCATGAGGACGATCCGGAAGTTGCTCGCTTTGAAAGTAAGTATCTATGAGCAACCCGTTAATATCCAAAACCAACAACTTCTTGCCGTCGGCCACCATCTACACACATTCCAAAAACGAAAACTTGTGAATTGAGATGGCTTATTGTTAGAATCCCAATGCAGATAAAAGTGGTACACGATACACTAAAAGTCCATGATGATCTAGTGGTTCAGGTGGTTTTTCAGACCTTATGGTCAACCCTTTCGGCCGTAAAAATCTTTCTACAATTTCAGACCCTTAAAAAGAGGTCCAAGAAACGGCTACAATTCTCAAAATTTACCTCTATGGCGCAGGCTACTGCAGTTTACTGAAGAAGATTTTTTTGATGAATCATTCTTGATGTGATTCCTTAATCGAAGGACATGAAGTGGTCCTCAAAGCGACCAGCATATTGTTTCATCCTCATTCATCATTCTGTCAAACATGAAAAAGATACGCGGTTCAAAAATTCCATCCAGACACCACACACATTTTCCTGGCTCTTTCGCCTCATCACATATCCTGATGACAGACACCACACTATCTAATCTTTCAGCTCTCCAAAGAGCAAGCTTGTTAACTTGGGTTCAATTAAAAAATGGAACAGTGATAATTAACGGCATGACATCTACCGCAACCTTCATATCCATATCCATGACAAAGACCCCAACCTACTGCCAAACTTCCTTCGATCTTTCTTCACGACCCCCAAGCGACCTGTGCTGTGTTATAATCTGTTTCCTTCTTCCCAGTACTATCTGCCTGGCCCGTCAGACATACCTCATTTTCTAATAGTCAGGAACAAAGACTTTCAAGTCCGTCTTCCAAAAAGACAGAAACAGAAACCAGTGACAAACCCAACTCAAAAGATGAACGAGGTTACTAGACGCAGATGCTAAGAGTGCTGCTGTTCGGAGAAGGTAGTTATTGTCCGCCTTTTCATGATACAAATTATTACATTTACAAGGTACTTATAGTCCGTATAATACAAATTTCCGTTTGCAATCAGGAAAAGTGACCACTTGCCAGACGTAATCAAGATGAAAGTAAAAAATAAAGCAGTGTGTATACGTAGTCCTTGAGTTTAAAATTTGTCCTCAAAAGATTCAATTCACATGCACTTTGCGATATAAGAAGAAAACGAATCCCACAAACCACAAAGCTTAGAAGGTCGGAGAATCAAGTGAGATGTAGGGGCTGCAAATGATTGCACCAAATACTTGTCAAGGATACTCGAGGGCATACTACAATATATTCAGCTGCTATGTGAGAGAACTCCGATAACAGTTGTTTCCACTTTTCAATAAAGTAGACGACGTTTCCGAAAGATTGACCAGCTTTATGGTTGGACTGTCATTCTACTCAGACTCCGTATCATGCATTGGGACAGAACACACCGGACAAAGAGAATCGTAGAAGAGCTTAAGACTTTGGCATCCTTGAAAAACTCCACACAGCGACACACATCTGCATTCTGCACCTGCGAGAGACTACTGCTCTTCGCGTAATATTACAAATTCAGAGTCCAAGTCTCAGTGTAAGTCAAGGCTGACTCCTGAAGACAGACGTAAATGGATGATTCTATGACAGAAACTATACTCGACAATCTGTATCATGGTTGACACAGCCGAAACAACTCAAAAACAAAGCAAATTGTAAAAAAGCAGAAGAAATTACTCTCATCGCGCAACCGGTAGATGACAGACCAACAAATTCCACACAGGCAAGTGGGACAATGCAGAGAAAAGACCTCTACTAGCAAATCGTACAGAAGACAAGAGATTCTTGGACTCTTCACAGATTAACAGCTGCCAGGTCAGATAATCAACTGCACGTAGAATACTAGAAAGGCATTCTGAGTAGACACTAAGATATAAAACTTCCAGTCAGTATACCTTCTGTTCAAACGATGAAATTTGGAAATTTGTTTCTAATTTGGCCATTGGGCAATACGCCTTCCATATAAGGCAATGAGAATAACTATAAGCTGTAAACATTGAGTTCTGATTTGAAAACGACTCTGCGACCAGCACTAATTCTCTGTGATACTCAATCTAAGTATTTGCCTCCCGTCTCACGTAATTGCCCCGCCGTAACTATCTCAGTCAACGCATGAGAAGCCACCGCCACGACCTTTTCAAACTCTTGTCGAGCAATGCACTTAAAGTGCCGCCCAATTCTGCCAAACCTTCCAAAAAGGAATCTGACTAAAATTCCACTCGAACAGAAGCTCAACAATCCAACGACTCCATGTCCAATGCCAATGACTACAAATGGGCGAGTTTTGCGATCACCTGTGGAAAGGCGGCAACAGCTGAAGATGACGGTCTGAGGAGAAATGATTACAATTTTCGAAGACTGCGACGGACAAAATGAACAAAAATCTCGTGCACACGATCATCCACCCTGTACTGTTTCCAGATCATCAGCTTGCCTGCTCTTGAGATCTATCGAACACCGGACCGTGCCTATCAAACACTTCCATCCACAGCTTTATGCTCGGCTCGAAGCAGCAAGAATTTTCACTAGACACATGAAATACTCGCACACTCGCGTGCAAGGAGTGGAATCACCGTCCTCGCCTTCTTCCGAATTTGAGTCTCGGCGCGAGGGAAATCTCGTCGCCTGCAAATCGTGTCCGGAGCCTGGACCACTTCGCACTCCGACTGTTCTGACAAACCTAAATCGATTGAGAAATCTGCTACCGTACTTTCAATATCACCTCCTTATAAAGCAAGTACAGTCTCTCATACGTACGACACGCACCGAGACCAGGATCGCAGCGGACGACCGGTCGTTGCCATCACCAGTGGATACTGTGACCGGCAGTCCTGGCACTATCTGCCGGTTACGGAGAAATTATGTCGCCTCCTTTGACTAAGGACAGAACAAGGTCAAAGACCACTTCTGGAGTGATGAATAATTGCTGTACTTTCTTACAACGAACTTGGTAGTGGTTATAGATAGTTCTTAGCATTGGGAGGTTTATAGTCCTTCAAAACGTGTCTGTTTAGCAAATCCAATTGTTCATGTGCATGTGTGAAGTCCATATGAGAAGAAACACTATTAACGTGTCTTTGAGACAATAGAAGAGATAACAAAGGCACAGCAAGCCTGCGTCAGATCCCAACATGAGGGCCAAGATAGAATGAATGATACTCCAAACTCCCTTTTCTATCATCAAAATGTGTTACATTCCAAGAAACTCTATCATCCTACTTTCTCATCTACAATGGCTTTTCTTTCAACACTCATTTGAGCTTTCGTTGATAAAGTAGAATTATGACATAAGAGCAATTAATGTATGACTACTAACATATATTCATGTTTTAGATGCATACAATTATGATAATTTCAAAAACTAAAAAACTTTCACTAAGAATCACAATCCATTCACATCCTTACTTGTAGACAAACAAGTTGTATTCAAGGCTGATTTCACATGTTCAAGATGTAAAAGATAAGAAAGCTAGATCCAAACAATAACGAGTTTGAATAAATGATAATGACATAGATGTTCTCTAAATCTGAAATATTTTTCACATAATCCACTTTGTAGTGATATTAGATGAAAACCTAACTTGTTCTTCCAAATTAAAAACAACTAGAATTAAATTGTAGTCAAAACATGATAAACTTGAAATATACAAAAAAAAACTAAAATGATTAGTTTATTCTACTCGTGTTTCTCATGTGAAATTTTCATAGTTGCACAATGTTTTTTAAAACATGGAATGATATATGAGTTTGATTGAATTTACTGTCAATCTTGATTGGTTCTAAATTCTTTTTATCAAAGATTTCATGTCTAATAAAGCGATATCTTATGTCGATATGTTCAATCTTATTGCAAATCAAATGATTTGCAGCAAATTATCATGAATTTTGGTAATCATAACTCAATTTAGTAACCTCTTATTTCAATTCCATTTTAGTGATAAGTTTCTTTAACCAGAAAAATTTCCTATATGTTTTTGCTATAATTACACATTCAACTTTAGACAGAGCTTTCAATGTACATATTTGCTTAAATTTTGAGCTACGCTATGCACCACTCAGAACATGTGAATTGAACTGTCTACTTCAGATGCAATATTTTTGACAAACTAAAGTAAGTTGCGCACGGTGACAAAACGCACAATTCACAAACGCATGGAGGAATGTAGAGTAAAGACCAAAAAATTAATTAATGGAAAAGCTCCTGAAGGTAGAGCCTTGGGCCTCTTTATTCAGAACGAAAACCCAGAGTCATCACCCGCTAGCTGCGAGCCTTCATCAAGTGCGACGCCCACTGAGTTAATGTCTACTCCTATGTTACTCAAAACGACTGACAATTCTAATTTTAAGCTCTACTTCGTCTACTCCAAACCAAAAAATGAACAAATTGAGCTTCCTACCTAACTGCAGATGCCCTGCGACTCCGCTAGCTCCATTTACTTCACACGACGCTTCACCACGTGCTTGAATTTCTTCTCAATCTCCTTCCGAGATAATTCCAATTTGTCCTGAAATCCTTACTTCTCCTTCTTCACATTGCAAATCTCAATCAGAAGTCCCTTATTTTTCAAAGACAAAGGTGTCTAATCCAAAGTTCAAAGGCTGAAGTTGTCTAAGGCCGAAAGCGCTACGACCGACGTTACTTCTTCGATCCATACCAATCACTTGCAACATCCATAACTCAGTGACACCTTATCCATTTTAGTAGTTCTTGGACTCATTAGAATAAGCATGCCGAGCTCTATCTATTGAAATCCTATCTAAAAAAAATCCCCAATAATTGAAAAAGTTATAAATCTTATACTCTAACGGATCATAACTCCTCTAATTCAACTTTACTACCTACAAGTAAAAAAACTAATTCCTACATAGAGGTATCTAAATGAATTTCACTAATCCTAACTTGTCGTCTACTATTAAATCCACTATTTACTCTACTTTTAACTATTTCTATACTAAAAGTTTGAAATTACTAGGCTTCTACTTTTCATCTTCTTTTCAAAAGAAAAAAATGAAAAACTACGTTACCACAATGCACTTGCAATCCAGAATGGAGAATTGTGGTTACTATCATGAATCGAATCTGGAATTTTGCAAGAAATCAAGTTCGATTGTTGTTAAAACTTGGATATGATGTGGCCAAATTCTTGGAATGAAACTTGTGAAGATGGCCAAAGTTGAGTAGAATGAGCAAGCAGAAATTTTTAGATTCTTTCTTTATGCATTCCCTATATGCATTTGTTTAGCTTGTTCAAGAATGGCACACCATGACAATGTCTAAAACTCGCTAGATTGAAGAGGCTTCTAAATCATTCTTGCCCACACAATGTGAATGCTTTCCAGTATTTATTCATCATGTTTCCTTCCAAGCACTCGGAGGAATTGTGAAGTAATCCAATCAGTAGACTGAGAGATTGATTTAATGTGAATCTTTAATTCTCAAAGTTTTTATGATTTGTAGACCATCCAAATTGCGTTAAACACTGATTTTGATGATGTTCGAATCATCGAACATTGAAAAATGAAGTGATCAAGATTTTGAATCCTCATGTTTTGAGTCCAAATCCAAGTTACAGTACTTTAGATATGCACTTATTCACACGACATTCAAAGAGGCTCGTTCAACTCAAAAGATTGACTAGCAGCAAATCTATTGAACTTAAATACCAACTTTGAGCTACTGCAAAACAACAACCATCGTGTCATGTACCAGAGAGACATAACTACAAATAGTAGAAGATGAAACCAAACGAGTTCATGAAAAATGAAGTTTCTTGGCCAGAACATGTCCACTTTGCCCAAACTTTTATTCAATGGGCTAGTATCAATGTATGACACCGACCTAATACAACGTTCCAAAGACAGTAGAAGATTGATATCAACTCTCTTATGTCAATTGAACTATTGACATCAATCGTGCGCTTTGGGCATGAAAGTTGAAATCAAGGACAGATGAATAAATCCAAGAGAGAGCTCCAATATGAGGAGTTTGATATACAATGAAAACATAGAAAAGAGCGAGTTGTGATTATTAAAACATAGAAATTGTATAGAGTGGAAACTCAAACTTCATTTGGTGGAACCAAACATGGTAAGAGCCCTCAAATCTACTACGATTCACTTTTGAAGAGGTAGAGTTGTGAGAAAAAATAGAGCTTCACTTGTTGGAACTTAGTAATGGAAAGAACCCTAAAATCAATCTACTACGGCTCAATTTTTGAAGATGTACAGTTGTGATGAAACTAAAACTTCACTCGTTAGAACCTAGTCATCGAAAGAGCCCTCAAATCAATCTACTATGGCTCAATTTTTGAAGAGTTAGAGTTGTGATGAAACTCAAACTTCATTTAATGGAACTCAGTCATGAAAGAAACTCTCATATATACTCTCGTTTAAACATCTTAAGAAGTAGAGTTGTGATGCAATTCAAACTTCACTTTTTGGAATCTAGTCATGGATAGAGAACTCAAATGAATCTACTACGGCTCAATTTTTGAAGAGGTAGAGTTGTGATTTGTGAGTTTTGGAGCACTAATATCATGTACAAATTATACATATGTGTCATTGTTTTAGAGATGTTTCGCTATTTAAATTCATCAAACATTCTTTATAAAATATAGATATATTCTAAAATAATATATTGGTATATTCCAAATATCTCCATAACTAACAATTGAAAGTATTAATGATACTTTTGAGTTCATCACTCTAATCATGAAATTTGCATCAGTGACAATGTATATCCAAAAATGATATTTTTTCATGAAACAAAGTTGAATATGAAACAAGTTGAAAATCAATCATTGTGGTATTTGATATCTTTCAAGCATCTCCACATCTGAAAAATCACAAGTTTTTCTTACTACTTTCTCTACATGAAGATCATTAATTTTTGCAAACCACTATATACTCTCAAGGACTAAATGCTATTTTCACATTCTTACTATTTCATGATAATCCACACTTAAAGTAAAAACAAGATAGCTCTCATATCATTATAACACTAGGTAAAAAATAAATGCGCTTGAATGAGTAATACCTTGATAGTTATTTTCTTGTTTATGTAGATTATACTAACAAGTACAAGGAGATAAAATTTTTATTGACATTACATATTTCACTTTTAGTGTATTGATGACATGATAAATAATAACAAACATGTTGTTCTCAACTAATAAACTTAATGTTTATCTATCAACAAATGTATCCTTGACATGGCAATTACAAATAGTTTACTATAATATCATTATGTTTTCATCTTGAGTAATTTCTATTCTGTTTTTTAAAAAAGACAATTGATTATACATGATAAAATAAATAAAAACCATAAATTTTAATAGAATAACTCATTACATTTAAGAAATATAAATGATAAAAGCTTTTTTGGAACAATTGAAATCAAGAGTTTAAATTTTAATTAGTTTATTTTCAAATATGATACTTTTATAATTCAAAAATTTGAATAAAAACTTATTATGGGATCAAGAAGTTGAGAATAAATATCCTGATGAAGTTGATTTTTTTAATCTAAATTTTTTCATATTACAACAAAATATTTAAAAAGATTAACTAGAATATGAAGAATAAATTTAATAAAAAAATTGATTGATAAATAGAAAATAAAAATACTTGAAGATTCTATCAAATATACAATTATTTATAAGAATATTCAGCCATTGAATAATAAACATTAATTTATTTTACAAGCCACCACAAAATTTGCGAGATTTAGTTTATTTGATTCCAAAATTTTTAAACTGATATAATATAAAAGAATATACTTCACACAAAAAATCGAAGAAAATGATATTAGTAATTTAGGAGAAGAATCAAGCCAGATGAGAATTGAAACACTTAGGCGGACGATAATAACTGCCATTTAGTCATACGTGCATATTAGTATGACTCTTGTGCTGATAAAGCTAATGGAAAAGGATCACAATTCACAACGTCACGTGTGGTAAACACACCCAACTGAGGCTAATCCGACCACCAGTAAAAGATTGTGGTAGCTGTGCAAACATTGATCTGAGAAGACGAACAGGTTCAGACCGTGTACTCGATCTCTCATCAAACTGGTCATCGATCCCATCGTCCACCTACCTCGTATCTGTGGTCATGTATAAGTTTGGCTTCGTGTTTGCCACCAGGTTTTGACCGAACATCTGACAAACCGGAAGATGGAAAATCTCAGCCGTGCATGTTTCATGGCCGATAGCCAACGTGCTAATGGGGCAGGCTTGACCCGGACCCCGCCAGCAATCTAGTGGAAGAAACTCAGAGCAATGCACTAGATTGGTTCTAGATGGTGACGGGCCCTTGCGATCTCCTCGGAAATGTAACTTTTGTTCATAACTCGTATAGTCCTCAAACTCCAGGATTATTGTATCAGATTCGCTCTCGTGATAGCGAAAACCGGAACGTTTGATTGATTCATTATTGAAGAATTTATAGACATGAAATGGGAAAGCACACGGCCCAGCTAAAATCCTTCTCCTAAGGTCTCAAGGACAGCTACTCGGCATCATCTCCTATTCGTTCACCGCACTGCACTTGGTGCGAATCTGGCCCACTGTCTTGACTCCTACTGCTCCCATAGCCCGCATGGCCTTTCCGAACTCCTTCTGGAATCGACGATTATTCAGCAGCGATGTCACCACGGCCCTTGTGCGGCTATCGTCGAAAAGCGACTGGTCCGATGTGAGGAGGCCCTTGTGCTCCTGCAGCGTCTTGTAGTAGTTGGCCTCGAACACGCCTGCAGATGTGGGGGTGATAACATCCATGAACACTTCGATGGAGGTGTTGAAACTGTGCTGGGGGCAAATGTTCTTGAGCTCCGTGGCGTATGCAGGGTCGATCGAGGGATCCGTGAAGAAGGTTGAGTTGAAATCGTAGAGGCGCGAAACGAATTTGTCGCAGAATCCCACTCCCACCGTCTGCGCCCCGGACAGAACCACCATCTGCCTGGCCGATAATCCCCTCCGAGCAAAAGAATCTATGAGCTGAGACACCTCGAACATTGGCGGTGGCAGCTCGGCTTCGGCTCTAGACGCGAGGGAAACAGTGCAATCTTTTCTTCCACCTTGCACGGCCCAGCCTGTGCCGTTTAGCTGAGTAACGAGTTGCAAGGCAGCGATCAAATTAGCCAGTGAGATAGCATGCAGGATGCAAATCGAGACTAGGGAATAAAAGCAGGACGAATTGCCATGACGTACGAAATCTCGGTAGGCTGGAAAAAGCTCTCGAATATCGAAAGTAGTACACGATGTAAACCCGAATTTTGTGAGCAAATTAGATCGTAGTCATTATTGTGAGTGTAGTGTTGCATTTCTGAGAAAGAGCTCGTGCACTCAGCAGCTGGTGACTGCATTTTTCTCAGGCATGAAGTGCGCGTACCTCGACTGTGCTGTCGCGAGCTGCATAAGCAAGGATGTCGGCGCATGAAACAACGCCAGGACAGACTGCTTCCACGGCAGCTTTGGCAGCGTCGATCACTTCAAAACCTGCCAGCTTTTGACATGAGAAAACATCTCATGTCAACGCCAGTTGACATGAGATGTTTTCTCCGTTCCAGGCCCGTCGAGCAGTACAGAGCCATCGCACCCCTGCGAAACATGCAATCCATGAGCAGCATGCATCGTGTCCTTTGAAACTCTGACGTCCATTGGCAGATGCAGGTTCTGAGGATCTCTCGTGACTGAGGACAAGCGAGAAGAAGCTTCATGAATAAAATTCAACTCCAGCAACTGAAACCTCTATCTTCCAAGCTGTTCATGGACTGGATCCACATGGGATCGTAGACACCTTTCTGGGTTACCTCAACGAAGCAGTCATGGAAATGCATACGAAGGACACCAGCTGCATGCTTGAGGTTCTTCGCGAGTTCAGCCTGAACGGCCTTCTTTATGAGCTTCTCCGCGTCCTTGCATGAATTCCTGTAGTAGTTATCTCTCAATCCCACGAACCCGTTGTCACCAGGGCCTGTTGCCTCCACCGCCACTCCAGAGAAGGTAAATAGAGCAAGTAAAAGAAGAGACCTGAAGTGTGCCATCGTGTAATCTCTCTCTATTTTTTGTTTCAGACCGTACGTACACGTTTTGGTCGACTGATAAAAGTAATGTCAAAATCTCACGTGCATGGAGTATCTTGTCGACTGTCAGCAAAGAAACAGATGAAATTTGTAGTTGACTTTTGAATAGAAGTGGATCTAGAGAAACCGGTCTCCCTGTCCCTCAGATCAAAGGAATGATCTGATAGGAACTGGAAAGACAAGCTGAGCTGAGGTTTGCGTCTGGAGCATGTTACTACGGGATTTATGCCCTCTTAGCAGATCTAGAATTACTGAACCCGACGGGTATAAGGAGTTAGTGGATTTGCTAAAAATGGAAGATTGCATATTTCATAAGACCCGCAAGCTAGCAGCTGAAGTCTCGCTGTATATCTTCTGCATGTCTACTGCTAAAATAATCTCTGTAGCTTAAGCTTCAATTTTAAAATATAGTACAAGCTATCGTTTTATCATGCATATATTCCAAGTCTTGATCTTACTGGATGATTCTTCATGATTGATACCTTCTGTTGTGAGTAGGCAAAGGAAGCAAGTAGAGACTCTGCGATCAGTTGCCATCGCATATCTCGGTTTTATGCGTTTCATATTTTCCTGTCATATGACGATATTTATGGACTGCCTAGATGTGAAAGCTTTCTGTTGTGGGGTGACCCATTGAATGCTACTTCTGGTTTCTCCTTCCAAGGAGCGAATAAAAAATAAACCAGAAGGATAGACAAGAATTGTGTGGTAATTGAGCTTGAAAAATTGAGCTTGAGGTATGGATTAACAAGTGATGAAGACCTTAACTCATAATGTCCAGATTCCAAAATACTTCGACGGCTAAAATTAGACTCAGAACTAAATACAAAAAAAATTCTAAAATTGACAACTCATAAGCTTCAACTTGTGGTGACAGAGGCTTGTAAGCACTTTACACCCTGATAGATGCGTTTTCACATTTGGTACGGTCCAGTTTGACCGGATGAACTGATCATGGATTTCAAAGACGAGTCACCTAAGGCACATCACGTATCCTTGGCGTGCAATCTGAGACAGTGTGTTTGGATGACATCTTAAATTTACTTGTAATAATGGGTCTGAGAGTGACAAATTTTTTGAAGGTATGATAGGGTTGTGAGAAAGAGGGGCGGAGGTCAAGAATCCGGCTTTCCAACGATTGCCAAGGTAGATTGGTCATACATTGTTCGCTGATTGACTGTTTGTGGGTGTACAAGACAAAAGGGAGAGGGCATGATTGCATTGTTTGTAGCATCTGCCCTCTCCCATTGCAATTGCATTGTTTGTTGCAAGAATTGAATTTGATGTTGGACTTTTTAGACCTCCCGTGAGAAGCTTCTTAAGCTTCCTGCCTCAGATTTACAAGCCATTGTCAATAGCCATTAGCTCGGGAAGATTCTCATCGCCCAAGAGTTTAAGGGGCATAAAATCTGCATCAATGTACTTTGTAGTTGAACTTCAGGTAGACACTGATAGCTTTGTACAGGAAAATCTTATCCCAAAATGATCCCTTGGCCGAATTTATCGCGACGAGTTCCGTAAATGTCAAAAACTCACCGTGAAAACCCTCGATGCGTCAGCATTGGAGCAAAATGAAGAGGATTTTCTTTCAATGAACTTGAGAAGCAAAACCTGCTGCTACCATGAAAAATCGAGAGGTCTAACAAATCCAATTCTTGCAACAAACAATGCAAGGGAGAAGGCAGATTACAATGGCTTGTAATCTGAGTCAGGAAGCTTAAGAGGCTTCTCACGGGAAGAAGCTTTCATTATATTTTTTCATTTTGCTGAAGTCAAGATGACTTTTCCTACTCTTCTGGCTTCTATAGGTCAATTTGTTTGATCAAGGATCGCATAACATTCTTTGGAGAGATATCCATGTGAGAAACTACAAAACTTCTAATCTAAAGATTGAGCGGTATATAAAACACCTCTCTGAAGGCACAGACAATACACCCCTAGGTGCACATGTTGTCCAGATTGTCTCGTCTGTCTCTCTCTTCCTCAACAAAGCCATCTTATCACTTCCATTCCAGCCTTCAATTAATAAGGTCAGGCTGATTTCTAATCTGCTTCTTGGAAGGAGAAACCAGAATTAACATTCACCGGGAGACGTGGCAAATAATACATACACATAGACATCAGGCATCTGTTCTGACTCATGATCCCAGAGGCTCAACTCACTTCTTCACCCTATTCGCTACAGATGGTCTCAAACATAAAGAATCGTCTGATAAGTCCTAAAACTTGGAATCTTTCTCTACAGCTTTTATGTACAAAATAATAGATAGGTAAGCTCCTAAGAGTAACACAACAGGACTCCATATGGTGGACTCTCGGCCCTATGGAATTTCCACTTTTTATATTGCAATCAATTCATTCCATCCCCTCGAAGCATGATCCATACCCACGATGTATTCTGTGGGTTCAGCAATAGATCTGATCAAAAGGTTAAAAATCCCGAAGAAACATGCTCCAGTTGCAGACCTCAGCTCAGCTTGTCTTTCCAGTTCCACTCAGATCAATCCTTTGATACTTGTCGCCAGTTGTTGAAACTAATGACTTTGTATTGTGGACATTTGCTGTTAGCGAGACGAGTCTCTGAATCGAAGCTGGATATTCTCCTCTATGAATTCTCTCCTCCATGAATTCCGTTCGGTGATAAGTTCAATTTTGTCACGGATATTGGTGAGTTTAAGGTGGAGGAATATCGCATGAGTCTCAAACACATGGAGCGAAGAATCATTTAACACACAGTAATTTTACATTCTACGCGACCATACTCTACTCACATCCTTTGCCTATTCGCTACAGAAGGTCTCAATCATGCAGAATCCTTCGATAAGTTCAAAAAATGAAATCTTACTCGACGGCTTTTATGTCCAAAAAATGGAAAGATAAACTCCCATGAGTATTACAGCGGTACTCCATGTCGTGGACTTTCAGCCGCATGGACCATCTACATAATTTATATTGTAATCCATTTATTCCATTCCCTCTGAGTGTGATCCATACCCATGATCTATCTCAGTGGATTCAGTACCAGATCTGACCAAAAGGTTATAAATCCCGTAGAAACATGCTCCAGAAGCAAACCTCAGCTCAGCTTGTCTTACCAGTTCCTATCAGATCAAACCTTTGATCTGAGGGACAGGGAGAGCGGTTTCTCTGGCTCCTCTTCTATTTAAAAGTCAACTACAAATTTCCTCCGTTTCTTTGCTGACAGTCCACAAGATACTCCATGCACGTAAGATATTGACATTACTTTTATCAGTCGACCAAAACGTGTACGTACGGTCTGAAGCAAAAAATAGAGATTACACGATGGCACAATTCAGGTCTCTTCTTTTACTTGCTCTATTTACCTTCTCTGGAGTGGCGGTGGAAACAACGGGTCCTGGTGACAACGGGTTCGTGGGATTGAGAGACAACTACTACAGGAATTCATGCAAGGACGCAGAGAAGCTCATAAAGAAGGCCGTTTGAGGCTGAACTCGCCAAGAACCTCAAGCATGCAGCTGGTGTCCTTCGTATGCATTTCCATGACTGCTTCGTTGAGGTAAGCCAGAAAAGTGTTCGTAGACACTTTTCTACGATCCCACGGGGATCCAGTCCATGAGCTGCTTGGAAGATCGGAAGATCGAGGTTTCAGTTGCTGGAGTTGAATTTTCTTCATGAAGCTTCTTCTCGCTTGTCCTCAGTCGCGAGAGATCCTCAGAACCTGCATCTGCCAATGAACGTCAGAATTTTCGAGGATTTCAAAATTTTGCAAGTTGCTCATGGATTGCATGTTTCGCAGGGGTGCGATGGTTCTGTACTGCTCGACGGGCCTGAAACGGAGAAAACATCTCATGTCAACGAAAAGCTGGCAGGTTTTGAAGTCATCGACGCTGCCAAAGCTGCCGTGGAAGCAGTCTGTCCTGGCGTTGTTTCATGCGCTAACATGCTTGCTTATGCAGCTCGCGACAGCACAGGTACGCGGACTTCTTGCCTGACAAAAGAGAGGCATCCACCAGCTCTTTCTCAGAATTGCAACACTACACTCACAAGATTGACTACGATCTAATTTGCTCACAAGAGTCGGGTTTACATCGTGTACTACTTTCGATATTTGAGAACTTTTTCCAGCCTACCGAGATTTCGTACGTCTTGGCAATTCGTCCTGCTTTTATTCCCTAGTCTCGATTTGCATCCTGCATGCTATCTCACTGGCTTATTTGATCGCTGCCTTGCAACTCGTACTCAGCTAAACGGCACAGGCTGGGCCGTGCAAGGTGGAAGAAAAGATTGCACTGTTTCCCTCGCCTCTAGAGCCGAAGCCGAGCTGCCACCGCCAATGTTCGAGGTGTCTCAGCTCATAGATTCTTTTGCTCGGAGGGGATTATCGGCCCAGGTAAGTAATATCAAATTCATATGTATGAATCTGATAAGTAAACTTGGAAAATAATTTCAATATTGAAAATAAAATATTAATTTTTTTGAAATTTTTTTTATCAAAATAAAATATTCATAAGATTTGAAAAATATAATTTCTTTTCAATTCAATAAATTTTTTCTATATTTAATATTATAACTAGAAAATTCATAATTTTTTTAATCATTTCTTATTTTATTATAAATCAAAATTTCTCATTAAGTATAGCATAAAATGTTTAACATCGAAATTAAGTTACAAAACTTCATTAAAATTTAGAAGAATATTAATAAAACGTTTGGTTTTTCAATGGTTGGAACTAAAAGCCATGCATTCGAAAAAGAAATAAAGAATAACAATAAGAATTTTAATTATTATGTATATGAACATAAAAGATAAGGAAAAAAATTATTTTTTGTAATGGTGCATGGGATTTTTTATTATCATTTATCTGAACATAACAAATAAGAAACAATAAATAAATACATAAAAGTATGTCTTTCTTGTGGATGGTACGTGGAACAGTAGCTAGGAGGATTTATTATCACAAGATGAATCTCGTGGGGTGTAGCAAAGCCGGGCTATCCCGTGAGGTCTCTTCCACACTAACGCCTGAAGTTTAATGGTACTTTAACGTGACACAAGGTTTAGAGGAGCCTTTTGTAAATTAGAAATCTTTTGGTGAATTGAACATAAAAAGGAAAGCTTTTGAATTCTTTGGGATTCTCGGTGTTTAAGCAGCCATCATACTAGCAAATAAACGTATTCCTAAGCTTAATGCGCGAAATGCTTAAGAGATTAGCTCAAGAAGTACTATAAAAGTTCGTAAGATAGCCTAAATATCTCGGGATCTAGTAATTGTTCGTAATTGCATTTTTTCATGATATTTTTTTTCTTTTTTCTTTTTCGAACTTATAAACTCTTCCTATCTCCGGAGGCTTGATTTCTATCATTAGAGACACTATCCTTTAAGTGGATATGTGGAAGTATGGTATGATGATTCAAAGAAACGTGTGGTTTCTGAACCTATTGAGATGACTCAAGAATTTTGTTATTTTGATTATGCAAGTCCTTGGGAACAACCTCAATATGCCAAAGTAAAGTCAAGTTAGTAAGGATAAAATTACGGTTTTGAGAAGAAGATCAAAGAGTAAAGTAAACCCAAGAATGTAGTGTCTGATATGATATGAATCAGCCCAGGTCTAGATAAGCTTGAATCTGTTTCAAAACGTACATACGGACACGTTCGCACCTGGCAGCTCTGGCACAGGCACGTAGTGCAAAGACCAAAAGAGAAGGTAGACGAACAGGACAAGGCAGAAAATGAAAGACTAATAAAATCATAAATTTCTTTTGGTTGGGAGTGTAGCAGAATCACCCAAAGCAACTACTATAACCAAGCTCAATAAAGCTGAGTCTAACTATTGTTCCAGAAGGGCCCGCGACTGCTGACACAATCCGAACCGACAATAAAATGCAAGATCAAGGATTTGAGACTGTAGGATTTTGGTTTGATGATGGAAGAGATAATGAACTAGCTGGGTACGGGATTGATGTTTCATATAGAAAATAATAAAAGATATGATGGTAATTAGAAAAACAAAACACCATCAAAAGATTCCTCGTATAGAATATATAGCAAAACTATGAATGGAAGCTAGCAATCCAGAAGGCATGAAAAGAGTTTCTAAAATACAACATTCAAAAGCAACCATATTGAGATTTATTATAACATACATTTCAAAGCTTTTGTCCACCATCCAAGAATTATACGTTCAATATAGCTTTGAAAAAAAATGCTAGTCTTATAATTTGATATTATCACGATATCACGATGGCTCTCTGGTGAGAATAAGGTAGTCAGTGAAAATAGCTTTGCTTACCCCACTGTAGATATTTATGCTATGCCCTGGAAGGGCTTTTGCCATCAAGACCTAGGGGCCGTTAACTGAAGGCGTCCATACGAATGAAGGTACTGGAACGAATTTCGAGCTCCTAACAGGGCTTCGAAACAGATGGAAGGTGAAAACTGAGGGAGTGCGCGGGGAGCGTGTTAGGGCGCTTCCTCTGTCCCGAATGTCTAAGAACTCCAAAATTCGCGGCAGCTCGCACTACTGCACGAACTTGGTTCCGCCCTTGTAACGCTTACTGAAGTGCCCTCCAAACCGTGCAAAATAGTTGCCCCGCCCGTAGGTACGAAGACCAGAAATGACTTGAAGATTTTCGCGCATAAACTGTTAAGTTTATGGCCCCGCAGGTAGACCCACCATAGGTTATAGGCCCGGAGGGTCCGAACGAGACTTCTTTGGCTTTACAGGGTTTAACCTTTCTTTCGTAAAGGCAAAGAAGGAAATCTACAAGCCATGTCTGGGCTTCCGACTGCTGCAACTAGATAGTAACTTCAGCGGCTTCTTTCCATAAATTCTTTCAACTTGCACCTCGACAACGAATGTAAAAAGCGATTATGTAAACGAAGGGTGCGTTTTGTTAGATACGGATGATTGGGATGATCGGGGTCACGGGTCCAAAAGCCCTGGCCGTACAAACCAAAGATGGGCACTTTTTCCGGGTCTGAATCCGTGGGATAAGTTGCCCGGGGGAAAATAATTAGTTTTTGTTGATGTGTTCACGCAGAGCAGCTAAAAACTAGGATCGAAGAAAGGATGTCAACTTTTTGGGGAAGGATCTGAAGGTGCGTCAGCAACCGAATCAGTGGGCTAGAAGCTCTTCACGCGGCACTTAACCGGAAACAAAATTCCTTATGCAGGGAGCACCAGAAGGCGACCTTCACTAAGGCTGCTCTAAAAGCAAAGTGAAAAAAGCTTTCTGGTGCAGGGGGAGGTTTTGACAAAAAAAAAAAAACCAATAAGATTCATAAAAGCTCTTTTCAAAAAAAATGCCCTAAAACCATGCAAGTAAAAAAATAGCTAATAAATGAAAAACAGATGTCTGACCGCATGCTTTCAAAAAAAGGAAAAAATTGACGGGACACGAGATGAAATGCCGAGAAAGAAGGCGCGTAGCGTTTCTTCGGCCCGGAGGGCCCACAAAACGCGTAGCGCCTCTCCTTCTAGTCTCGTGCCTTTGGCTTCATTGTAGGATAGCATGAATCGGACGCCATGAGAAGCAGGCCGTGTCAGCTCAATGGATATCATCACAGAGCATCTCCGGGCCTTCGATTAGTTTTCCATCAGCTCCCATCCACAAAGCAAGAGATATCTCAAACCCTATACTTTCTATCTTTGAAACTTCAAAAGAGGAGTCAATCCAGTCGCGGTCCCCCTGCGGACGGTTATCTTAATGGAGACCGGCTTGGACGGAACCCAGGACTAGAGGGCCGGAGTAGTATTAAGACTTTTAGCCATCGTGGAGGTTTTTCCTTTAGCACCACGATGCTCAGGAAAACGTTCAGGACATCAAGCACATTCCTAGCGACTTCGTCCTACTTCGAAAGGACCTAGTCCTTATAGGGCGGAGCCCGCCCCGACCTACGAGCCTCAAGTGATTTCTAGTCTAGCGATATAGGACATCGTCTTTCACCTTCGGTCGCAAAAAATCCGACGACAAAAAATCGCCAACACGACCCAAAGGGCACGAGACCAGAGGGAGAGGTGCACAGCACTCCAGCAGAGGAAGAGCGCTTTACGATTGAAGGGCTTGTAGAAAGAACATGGTGCGATCTTTGACGCGTACGATTTGCGCGTGGTGCTTTCTATCTTTTGTGCTTTTTCTTGAAAGGCCCGAGAAAGCGCAAAGCTGCTGTCCGGGCAGCCCTCCCCCCTTCTTCCGCCCCTAAGAATTAGGGGTTGTGCGGGTACTCATGCGCTACCCGCAAGGGTGCGCAAAACAAAACTACACGAGTAACCAACGTTGGATCTAAGGCCAAGTCTGACGACAAGTCTGGCAATTCGCCCGTAAGCCAGGACACGATCACGATATCGTGATAATCATAAACCAAAATACTGTCTGACAAATAGGCTTGGCCACGGTCCGGTCCGGACCGACGGTTAACCGGTTAACCGTCGGGACCGGTTAACCGGTCCCAGATTTCTCCGGACCGGTTAACCCATCGGTTAACCGGTCCGGGGAAAAAAATTTCCTCTGGCACCAGATTTAGACCAGCGAGCCTCGCTGGTCTAATTCTGCCGCCAGAGTAAATTTTTGTATCACCTAATTTGATCACCCAATTCGATAATTGGATAATCCCTAGCATAAATCTCGAGCTCGGATGTGTTTCTCCAGCTTCCCTGCACTCTGGCGCAAAATCGAAGTCTCTCCAATTCGAGAGCGTTTTCACCTCCACTCTAAACACCCTCGCAATCAAACCATCAACGAGACCAGAATCACGACACTCGCTGGGCACGACAGGACCCACGACCGACGACAATGAGCAATCGATCCCAGCCACAGCCCCTCCCATCGGCCACGTAGGGTCGAGACAGATGGTTAACCGGTTAAAACCTCGGTTAACCGTTAACCGATATGGCAAAATGCCGGACCGGTTAACTTACCGGTTAACCGGTTAATTGGACCGGTTAACCGGTCCGCACATTTCCCGGACCGGTTAACCGTTAACCGGACCGTGGCCAAGCCTACTGACAAAACGAGCAGAAGGTTACGGATGACAGGATTTTGAACCCGATATCGAACCAGACACACCATCAGGCAACCCGTTGATCTATTATACAGACTCAGTGTGTTCCACTCTGTTTTCAACCCGAAAAGCAGGGGGCGGTGGCTGAGGAGAAGGTCGCACTTCTCGCTGGCGACATGATGGCTGGGCCGAGGCCACAGCAGACTGAACTTCGGCTTGATGAGCTTACCTCAAAGCGAAGCAAACCGACGAATGAACTCAACTTTGCGCGGATACGCCTAACACTTAATAGTACGAGATATTTTATTAGCTTCCCCCCTCCGGTTACCGAGTAGCCATGGCTTATGCAAAAAGGTAGGGCATGGGCTGGGGTGGGCGAACTTTTCCGTAGGACCGACCTCGACCCGGGCTGTGAGTTCAGGAATTCGCGCCCTCTGGCCCAGAGGGAAAAGAGAGAAAACTGAAAACCTGAATTAACATGGTTGTGTCTAAACGACTTTATCGAATTAGGAATGTGCTTCAATTTTCTCATTTGATTTATGATATGAGGAACCGAGTGCGAAACTTACAGTATGACTTTTTTCATTTTAGTTAATATATATCAAACTTTTGAGTTTCTATGTATGCTTGTCTTCTCCTTTAGACGTTAAACGAGATCTTCATCTGAAGTCATGACTTTGTGTTATCTAACATTTAGCATATGAGGTATTTTTCATCTCATGTATATACCACAGCTTTTCTTCACCTGCAAGCAAGTACGAAAAATGTAAATTCTTGAGAGGTTTGACGGTTAACCTTAGCAAGTATCATGCTGGTTCTATCGTGTTCTATACGACGTGATAAACAAACAGCAGTGCTCCTAGCTCGGACGAAATCTGATTTCAATTCTATGCTTGAGGTCGAAAGGCCTCCAGACTCTGGTGTTAGAACTGTGCAGTGTTAGACAGTTGAGGTAGAAGAACAATCTTACCAGCAGTTGAAAACCCCGAGTATTCATATACTCTGTACACAGTTCTTCGCCATTATGTTTGGTAGACTTCCCAAAAGTTGATCGGTTTGTTCTGAACCTACGAGTTATGTAAAGTAATGTAGATTACTGTACGGATCTTCAAAGCAAGAAAAAAGTACAACATGCTTTGTTCTCCGAGCTGACTACCCATGTGCCTCTCAGTTGTCAGACTACATCCACTTGCTTGAATAGGCCACAGATTTCAGGAAAAAGTATTCAATGTAGATGACGATTGAAATCTCTGTATTCTGCGTGACGACATCGAGTGTATCAGCACACTGATGCATCCACTCAATTATCACGTTCGCTTGCACAACAACGTCAAGATTTACTCTGACCTTCTCTAAGAACATTTTCCAATCACACCTACACCCTTGTTGTGTTCGTAGGTTGTCTTGACCTCGATCATCCACACTATTTAATGAGATGATCTGATGATTGAGCTGCAAATTTCTACGCGCTACACTTCGGAGTGTCTGTCTTCCCGTGGGTGTTGATGCAGCTAGATTCGCAATCTCCCAGTCCAATCGTACATGGAGTTTTACCAAAGCAGAGTACTTCACATCTGAGATATCTGCGCTTCCATGCTTTCCATGACATTCTGCGTTTATTTCGCACCATCTTTGCTAGGAACGAGTTTTTTGGATTTCAGATTCACCTGCAGAGCTTTCAGCTTGTCCACTCGTTAAGTCACCAGTGCAAATCAAACAGCTCTCTCCGTTCTTCACAAAAGGTTTGCGGCTCCTGAGAGATGTGAAGTCCTTTTTGCACACACTGTATGATTTGCTTTGGATCCGGAATATTGGTTATCTGCGTTCATTTTATTCCTATCGCTTGTCTTGCCATGCACTGAATTCAAGCAGCCTCTTATTCCAGTTTGCACAATTTCCCTGCGTTCGTGGTGATTACGCTTGATCCGATTCCTTGCAGAGTTGAGATTAATCGTGTGCATCTCCTCATGCAGAGTGCAAGAAGTGGCATGCCCAGCACTCACATGCACACAAGTTGTCACAGTGGATCAGGAAGTTAGTTCTCTTGGGGTGAGCCGGTTCTTCGGATCGAGGAGGAGGCTTCGTGTAGTCCAGGTGACATTGCGCTCGCGCATGCCAAGCAGCAAACGTTTCTTACTCTGTGCGAGTGGAGGAGAGAATGGAAGGTGCAGGTGCGTCCAATGTCAGTCACGCTGCTGAGACACAGGGAATGGACTCTGCGGACGAGGAACCGGACCTTCCCTCCGCTGTCCAGGACCTTATACGGAGTCTTATACGGAGTCTGGAAGCAAATGAGAGCGGCGTAGTATGGCGGGAGATTGCATCGCTCTCCAGCACTTGGCGCCTTCGAGTGCTGGAGGCAATCGGCAGCTGCAATACTATTCCGATTCTGGACGTGAACCGTATTTGTGACGGAAACATATCGAGGTTTACGGAAAGTGAGTGGGAGGTTCTTTTCAGAGGATTTAAATCTAGCACCGTTCTAAGAGTCATATTCCTTAATAAATTGGAATGGAGTTCAGATGCGGAAGTGGAGAGCTTGTGTTCACAGATAGGGAGTATTCTGAATACCTCTAGCATACTTTATTTGCGCATAGGACATATCAAATTGAGTGCCAGATGTTGGTTGAGTCTCGCCTCAGGACTGCGAGGAAATTCCGATTCTAAACTAAACTACTTAGATTTAGAGGACGCGTGGGAGGAAACGAGTGCGGTGAAGCATGTGGCTGACATGGTCAACAGTGGTCTTAATGTATTGAGAATAGGCGAAATAGACGACATGGAGGAGGAGGCCGTTGGAATCTTGTCCCAGGCTTTGATCCAAAGCTCGTCCCTGAAAGGATTGATCTTGGAGAAGGGGAGCGGGGACCGGGGAGCGGCTTTGTTGCTGAGAGGTTTGGCCGGAGATGATGGCAACCGATCCATTGAAGGTCTTTGGCTGTGGGACATGGATGGACTCGGAGGCTGTTTAAGAGAACTTCTTACTTCCAACACATCATTGAAGGAAGTGACGTTGCGCAACTTGCGGATGAGTCCTGAGGACTGGCGCCAGCTCGGCGTTGTCATACTTGACAATGCTATAGCAACACACACTAAAGTTCACTTTAGTGATGATGTTGTACGTGGTGGATACAACATCTCAGATAACTGGGAGTCAATAGAAGCTCTTGCGTGTGCTGCTAGCTCCGAAAACAAGGACCCCACATTGGAGTTTTTACTCCACTCGTCGACTGAGGATGGGTTCATGTTATCATTAAACCTATTAGGTAGGGTACTGCGCGGGGAAATCAAATCCTTGAAATCTTTCGAAATACACTATGTAAACAATAAATTTCCAAAGATTTTAAGATGTACCAACCTAGATAGAACGGAAAGTATCTTGTCGATGAATGGACAAACTGGAGAAACTTCCGTCCTGAAAAGACTCGAATTGAGAGTTGAAAGCAACGATATTTGGAAGGTAGTATGGAAAGCCCTGCTTTTGTTCCTGCGAGGGAACACAAGTCTCACTCACTTGGTTCTGCGTCAAAACGAGCTCGAAGAAGAGGCGTTCAAGGACATGATGGAGGTACTCCAAGTGAATTTGACTCTCCAGGAAATAAATGTCTCAGGCACCTCATGGGCAAGGGACGGAAAGGAGGGGATTATTCAAGAGGCCCTCAGGCAGAATCAGAAGCGGCCGCCTACATGTCCGTGTTCATAGAGGCCAAACTCAAACTTGGAGATTCAAAAGTTGGTCGACTCTTTCTATGCGGCTCTACTAGAGCATGTAAGGTGCTTTGTAAGTTCTCCGTTTTTCAAAGTAGCAATCTAAGGTTTTACTTCTCCAAAATGTATATTATAGTATGAAAAGTTTATTTTTCTCTTTAAATACATTTGGAATAGTTTAAAAAGTTTCAAAGAATTGAAGAAATATTATTTCAATATTTCGATTAATTTAAATTATAAATTATATCTATTTAATCATTTCAAATCTTGATTCGATTTTCAAAATTTTAACTAATACTTTTTATTCATTTAAAATGATAGTATCATGTAATCTGTAAAAATATCTCAAGTTATATTTATTGTGGTTATTTGAACTCAATTTGCAGGCATGAGTAAATTGCGTCAAACCTTGATGAGGATAGTTCAGTGCAAAAGTTGGTTTGGAACGAAACTGAACAATTTGTTTAGAACAAAAGGTATCGAAGTGGAGTTCTTGCAAAACGATGACCAAAGGCAAATTTCTATTTGGGATCTTGCGGGTCAAGAAATTTTTCGTACCCTTCAAACTGTGTTGTTCCCTCAAACCAGCAATTTTTGTGCTTTTTATTTTTGTATAGCTCTTTTTGTGAGAAAACATCTTCTTACAAAGAAAACTCTTGTTTTCAGAGAGAGTTGGAGGAATGGATGAGATTTATCACATCCAGCTCTAGGGACACTGGACATAATCGTCCACAAGTTCTTGTTTTGATTTCACACAAGGATAAAACCAAATCCAGCTCTTTGACTTGGGCTCACTCAATAGTGAATGATGTCACCCAAAGATTTGCAAAATTTGTAGATCTTCATCCAATTCAAGAGTGTTTTTATGTGGATGCAAGAAAGAAGAAGCAAGTTTTAGGTCTCAAAAATTATATTTTTAAGATCTTTGAGAAGTTGTTGAGTGAAAAATCCCCGCGAGTTCCACAATTGTGTTCTCAACTCTCGTCCCTCTTGGTTACAAACATCAAGGAAAACAGAAGCTGCCCTCTTTGGTTATCTCAAGAGTTTCATGACTTTTGTGATCCCATCTTGACACAATTTATTTCATCCTCTTCAGCTTTTGCCATGGATCATTCAAGGATACTAAAATCTATAGTATCTTACTTGAATGACATTGGATCCATCATCTATATTCCAAACTTCAGTCACATCATTGTGGATCCAAACTGGCTCACTAATAACTTATTGGGTGAGCTAGTAGGTCTGGGTCAAAACTTTGAAGATGAAGAGAACAAAAGGACGTTGCGTGGCTCATACTCAAGCAAGGACGGATTTGTGGATGAGATTGTCTTCGCTGGATTGATAGAAGAATTTCTGAAAAAGCAACCGCAGGGACAAAGAGGTGTGGACAAGGACGTGATTGAGAACATCCTTATCAATCTAGATTTGTGTTTCAAGGTGGAAGATACTTCTCAGTATTTCATTCCCTCCTTCATACCCGAGCATGCAAGCACTGAAGGACACAAGCCTAAAGAATCAGCAGCCGTGAAATCTAAGAATTGGGCACGTAGGGTGGAGACTTCAAAGTTTGTCGGCATCCGAATTCAATGCCAAGATGGAACAACAATGTCACTAACCGCTGCTTTTTTCCCATGCTTCCAGGCGATTTCATATATACTTTGACAAAATTGAATGCGTAGTGTTCTAATTGTAACTTGTGTTCAATGAATAAAGTGTTTTCTTTTCATTAGTTGAATTCAATATTTTGAATGCGCAGCTCAATATTTACCAAATTTTGTATCATTGTAGATGTTCATGAGACGGAAGTTGATTTCGGAGATGACTGTTCTCAAGGACACTATTACCTGCTCTCGACACTATTTGGGAGTCTTCCTTGATGACCATCAGATATATCTGGAGCAAGGAACGTCCCGCAATTACTTGGATGTTCTGATGTTATGCTCGGATCATAAGTCAAGGGAGGTGGCTATTAAGTACTTGATGAAGCATATCGTCCACGAGTTGATATCATTTTGTGCATCATCCAAAGGCTGTCCCGGGGTAGCGTTAGTGCTCAGTGTGATTCAAACACGTTGCGTGGAGATGCTGATTCCGAGTCATCTCAGAGGAGCCATTCTGATCGAGGAGCTCAAATCAAACTTCATTCGTGACATCAATGAAAAACTTGAGGATTTTCAGTCGGATAGGTTTCACTTGGTGAAGGAAGAAGAGTTGTTCAGCTATGAGCACATTTGGCCCTTGATTGAAGGTCACATAACAGAGATTACATTCGAAAGAGCGAAGGAGTTGCTGTGGGAGAGCGATATGGAAGCGGTTGTGAATGAGATTCGACAGAAGCGAATGCAACAATTGGAGTCATTTCAGCAAGACCTTAGCCAACAATTGGAGTCATTGCAGCAAGGTTTAAACGAAGTGAACGAAGACTTGATTCATTCTTACCCTGAAAATGAGAACATGCTTATCAATTCGATTTTTCCTGATGTGGAAGACTCCAATCAATCTTCACCCAGGTGCTTAAGTCGGGCAAGCTCAAGTATGGAAAATCCTGCAACCAGACTTCTTTGGGAAAAGATGGATCAGGTTGAAAGAAAAGTTGATGGTGTTGATGAGAGGTTGAAATCTGTGCAGAGATTGGAGATAAAGATTGAACAGATATTGTCTTTGCAACAAGAACTGCAGTCAACGCTGAGTGATTTCATGTCTAAAGTGGACAGGATTGTTGATTATTTAAGAGAGTTTCAGCATGCCAGAACGCCCAAGAGACCTTACGTTACAGATGCTGTTGGTTTTTTCTATAGGATGAGTGCAAATCTGCATTTTGGAAAAACCGTTCGGTTACACTTGATGTGTGAGTCGGCGACTAGGTTTCATCCCGTCAAAGATCAAGAAGGTTTGAAGATACGTGTGGATATGGATAATCGTGCGTGGATTAGCAAAACCATTGAAATCTCATTCAAAGTCATGCATTATGCTATGAAGGCTGGACTGGATGTGACCCTTGGGTTGGGCCAAGTGATTCCGGACTGGGCAGATTTAAAATCTGATATTGTAAAACTAGATGGCATTAGCGATAGTGATCGTAGGGTAGTTCTAAAAGGTGGGAAAAGCAAGGAGCTCAAAGAAGCATGGCTGAGGATTCAGCAAACTCTTGCGCCTATTAACTATTCGGCAGTATTCAAGTTGTATCAGGTGAAATACGTGAGACTAGAATTAGGTGGGCATGCATGGGTGTGCGAGGAGTGCATGAAGAAAGGTTTTAGAACTGGGATTTTGTCGTGAAACGGAAGAGGTTAGAATGTCATGATGCAAATGACAAGCATATGTTCAGACACTCATGAAATGTGACCCTCTGCAAAATCTTCTTTCGAGTTTTCACGTTTACATGTCTTTTCAATGCAATCGCGCAGTTTTGTTTATGAAGATGATCAGTATATAGCTGAATTATCATAATTATATTTTGAGGACAATGTTTCAAGTGTGGCTTGTTGCAAGTCTCACCATGACGAAATCCCTTGACTTGCACGTTGGGTGGTCAGCCTTAAATTTCGATACATCTCCCAGAATGATTGTTCTGAATAATGAGGGTCCAACAACTGTAGAATGGACAGGAAAAACTTTTACGTTAGTTTGTGTTTATAGTTGGTAGCCGTGTCTACAAACGCGTGCAATTTTGAACACTGCATTTTCCCACCACATGCAGTGTTCAAGATGTGCTGGCGTCGGCTTTCCTCATCTGGCCTTCGTAACACTGGTTGTGCACTCTTCGAGCGGCAGGCTCGTGAAGAGACGAATAAGGCCGTGCAAACCTTGTGGGTCAAAAGATTGGCCTGTGATTTGACAGACAGGGTAGTGTTGCGTTGAGTATGGTGTGGGTCAAAAGATTGGCCTGTGATTTGAAAGACACGGGAGTGTTGCGTTGAGGATGGTGTGGAGTTTGTGAGAAAGACGGTCAAGAAGTAATGCTTCAAGTCGCTTTGTAGATACCTGACTGCAGCTAGCTAGCTTTCTCATGCTTACTTTGTCGTATATCCTGAATTTCCTCAGAACTGGGTGGTCGGAACAATTCATGAAACAATCAAACCAATTTATTTGCTCTTCCTTCAACTGCTGTTGTTCAAGTTAGACTTCATATATGAGCTTCTCTTCGCATATCCTCAGTCGCGAGAGATCCTCATAACCTGCATCTGCCAATGAACGTCAGAATTTTCGAGGATTTCAAAATTTTGCAAGTTGCTCATGGATTGCATGTTTCGCAGGGGTGCGATGGTTCTGTACTGGTCGACGGGCCTGGAACGGAGAAAGCATCTCATGTCAACGAAAAGCTGGCAGGTTTTGAAGTCATCGACGCTGCCAAAGCTGCCGTCGAAGCAGTCTGTCCTGTCGTTGTTTCATGCGCCGACATCCTTGCTTATGCAGCTCGCGACAGCAGAGTCGAGATACGCGCTCCTCATGCCTGGGATAATGCAGTCACCAGCTGCTGAGTGCACGAGCTCTTTCTCAGAATTGCAACACTTCACTGCTCACAATAATGACTACGATCTAATTTCCTCATAAGAGTCGGGTTAACATACTGCGCTCCTTTCGATATTTGAGAGCATTATTCAGCCTTCAGATATTTCCTACTTCAAGGCAAGTCATCCTGCTTTTATTTCCTAGTCTCGATTTGCATCCGGCATACTATCTCAATAGTTAATTTTATCGCTACCTTGCAATTACTTACTCAGCTAAACGGCACAGGCTGGGCCGTGCAAGGTGGAAGAAAAGATGGCAATGTTTCCGTCGCTTCCAGAGCCGAAGCCGAGCTGCCACCGCCAATGTTCGAGGTGTCTCAGCTCATAGATTCTTTTTCTCGGAGGGGATTATCGGCCAGGCAGATGGTGGTTCTGTCCGGGGGAGTGGGAGTCTGCGACAAATTCGTTTCGCGCCTCTACGATTTCAGCTCAACCTTCTTGACGGATCCCTCGATTGACCCTGCATACGCCACGGAGCTCAAGAACATTTGCCCCCAGCACAGTTTCAACACCTCCATCAAAGTGTTCATGGATGTTATCACCCCCACATCTGCAGGCGTGTTCGAGGCCAACTACTACAAGACGCTGCAGGAGCACAAGGGCCTCCTCACATCGGACCAGTTGCTTTTCGACGATAGCCGCACAAGGGCCGTGGTGACATCGCTGCTGAATAATCGTCGATTCCAGAAGGAGTCCGGAAAGGCCATGCGCGCTATGGGAGCAGTAGGAGTCACGACCGTGGGCCAGATTCGCACCAAGTGCAGTGCGGTGAACGCAGAGGAGATGATGCCGAGTAGCTGTCCTTGAGACCTTAGGAGAAGGACTTTAGCTGGGCCGTGTGCTTTCCCATTTCATGTCTATAAATTCTTCAATAATGAAGCTATAAAACGTTCCGGTGTTCCGCCCATCAGGAGAGTGAATCTGGGACAGTAATCCTGGAGTTTGAGGACTATACAGGTTATGAACAAAAGTTAGATTTCCGAGGATATCGCAAGGGCTAGTCACCATCTAGAACCAATCTGGTGCAATGCTCTGAGTTTCTTCCACTAGATTGCTAGCGCGGTCCGGCCTGCCATATTAGCACGTTGACTATCGGCCATGAAACATGAACGGCTGAGATTTTCCAATTTCCGGTTTGTCAGATGTTGGCTCAAAACCTGGTGGCAAACACGAAGCCAAACTTATACATGACCTCAGATACTTGTACATGACCTCAAATACTTGAAATACAACCTATTAGAAAAGTAAAATGAATCAGATCAACTTCCTTCAGTCAAAATATATGATTTGAATTCACTCCCATATCAATGCTCACTTACTAAAAGCCTGTCAGTTTTTTTCTTCTTAAAAAAAAATACATTTTTTCCTTTAGTTGTCTGACAGTACCCCATAGGTCTTGTCAGACAGTCGCGGTCCCGCCCTTCAAACTCCACCACACTACACAATTGAGCTAAGGTACAATTATATGTATTAAACCCGAAATCATCAACAACCAAAACGTAGATTGTCTTTTTTTTTATGAATCATAGTAGATGTAAGACACTAGCCAACCACCATCATATCTTCCTTATCAACCTAGATCGTTGATCTTGAGAATTTTGATAAAATAAATATAACTAAAAAACAATTTGAAATCATAAATGTTTTGAATAGAATATTTGATTCAATAAAGTAATGTATAATCAATCTAAAATTAAACTAAAAATCTACTCTATGCATTTTGAATTTTCACCAATTTGAAATGTGTGTAAAGATCAATTGCATTAAACTAGAAAATTCCATATAAGAAAAAATGGGATCATTCAATATGAACATAATAATTATTTACTATGGATCAACTAGAATTTTCACGTTAACAATTCCAACATTTAATAAATGTGTTCATTAATAAGAAGTCAACAATACGCACTTTAGTTAAATAAAGATTGACTATTATTTAAAGATGATTTTTGATTCACATTCTATTAATCTATCATGAATGCAATGGATTTTAAAGGAGAGTTTAAATTTTTAATTGTGTTGAAAAATTTTCATATTGAGAGAAATCATCATTCTTAATACTTTTAATCTTTGTAACTTATATTTTGAGAAATGTAAGTTTAGGGTTTAGGGTTTAATTTATAGTGTTACAAATTGTCATATTACGATTCTCTTCTTTTCTAATGGATTAGTGTACAATCCATATACATATCATTTGCTTCATATGTATTTCAAACGTAATACATTTGTACATTATATCAATCATTTGATTTTTAACTTATCAATCTATGGGTTGTAACTTTTATATATTGCTTTGAATATATCTAACAACAAATTTTCACACTGTTAATGTTTTGTAAATGTTTTAATAAAAAACACATTGTTAATTTACACATTTATTGTTTAATCGTGAAGTATAAAAAGTTCTCAACATGAAAATAATAAATAATCCACTATGAATTAATATTTCTAATTGTTATTTATTTAAATCACCATGAATAAAAATGAAACATTTCTAGTTTTCTAATGATTGGAAACCGTGAAACTAAGAATGATTGTACAATACATCTCCTCACCCAAAATACTCTTTCGCACTTCGAAAAAAAAAGTCCTTCACTGTAGAATTTTGATTACTGCAAATTTATGTGCACATGCAGTTATATGTGTCACAGTTGTGAACTTATTGTTTGTTATTAGGTCCTAACTAAGCGCGTTGAAATTTTCTTGTATTCAAATAACTAATCTGAAAGAGTGTATAAAGTTTGACGGGACTACGCAGTCGCTATCACTTTACCCCCACAGCATATGTTTTAGACAATGTTTGACAATGCCATTCAACAGAAAATACACAAATTCTAAATTACTTACAATAAAAGAAGGGTTGAAGCTCGACGTTATATGACACGCAACGCAGTTTCACGTCTATTCCATTTTAAAATTCGTAGGTTAACTTGCTTCCATGAAAACACCGTACATCAAAAGTATCGACAATTTGTTGGCTTCGTCACCATTTATCTACTGTCCATTAACCAGTTTCCTCCTGACGACGACTCGCTTGACAAAACATTAGGCTCCAAGCTACTACAGACGGACGAAATCTGACTACTTTGTATAGTGTACTGTCCTTTCTTATAGAGTTGGCCACCTTACTATACACCTATTCTGGTGCTTTGGTTGCCCTCGTTAAGGAATCAAACTCAGCCCTGCATTAAAATAAAGATAAAATAGCTGTATAGCAACAAACAGGAAGTAACTTGAACTGCTTCAGATGTTCCGACGAGCAAGATAAATGGAAGACAAGGTCGGGAGTAGTTGGGCCCTCAATAATAGTTGAATATGTACGTATTCCTGTCCCTAGATACGTGTAGGAGAGGATAGAGATATAGTTTGAACTCCAAAAGCAAGGTGTTTACAGCTACTTGCAATAAGGCAGATCTGTAGACAGCTAAAAAAACATTACAAAAATGGACACGAAAGTAGAACATACAAGCCAATATAATGATGAGCCATTAGATTGACTTCGCCTAAAGTCCACTGCAAGTTTTGACCTCACTATTCGTTCTCCTGCCACAATCAAACATTTTTGGAGAAAGGGGACCAACACGAACCAGACACACTTGAACATGCTGGAAAATACAAAGTGATGTATGAAAACACACGTAACTAGTTCACTCGAAAGAGACACAAGTGACATACCCGATTTGAATAAAACTGTTTAGCTCCAGATCTCAAGCTGATCATGATGAGGCTTCAACATAGCATGTGAAAGTGTTGGACCCATTTCGAAGTCCCTAGTCATACCAACTCGGTCTCAGCTTGCGGACATATTCAAAACTTACGATGCAGTAGTCACATAGTATTTTCACACGTAAAAACTAGCTGATGTCGGTACCGGGATGGTTCAAGCAGTGTCGAGAGGAGCTGCAGATGCGTGAGCTTTCGTCTCTGCCGCCAAACATCAAAATTTCATCTCTAACCTCCAGAACCTCCTCCTGTGATTCAGATGATCTCATGAGTGGCAAAACATTGCCTGTGAGGAACAATTTATCTCTTGTCCAAATCTACATGCCTCCAAAAACAGAGAACATAAGTAAATTGAAATATTTCAACATGCTAATAAAATCTTTGGTGCTAACACTATACGTCCTCAGTCACGTCAGGCTCAGAAGCCCAGTGGTAACATCTGCATCGCTGTCGATCTCCAACGTCGACAAAATCAATTAGTACCTCGCATAACATAAATAGGAAGTACAGAGAAAAAAAATAGAAAAATCGGCGAATCCACTATCAAACCTGCTTGGCACATAGATCATTATGGCCCTCTTCCACTTTCCTTGATAAAGGTTCATGTGTCCTGATGGACATTATAGTGAAGTCCAAGTTAACGCTAGCCTTCGTGCTCAGCGAGATTCTCATACACGGAATAGAAGTATAATAAGGAAGTGTGCCGCATGAAGTAGCCATATTCAGCGCCAGCCACTCTCCTCGAATGGGCAACGATACGCAATTTAATCCCCACCAGTAGAGTGGAGCATCAAAATCATCCGAATGCATGTTAAACGCCGCTCGTAAGCAATATAACGAACATGGCAACGTGCACTTCCCTTGGAAATGGAGGTCGACAAATCACACTAGAAAGAAGTTAAAAGGCGAGTGGTGAAAATGCTCCATGTGTTCAACTTCCAACTACAACATAGAACAACAGCAGCAACATGATGAGTCATTGGTAACCCGTAGACCACACCATAACACATTACTTGGAAATCCGTGTATACATTCTTGGGACTTCCAGCTAGCCTATGCAGATGCAAAAAGAAAAACATCGGACACATTAAAAGCAATAAACAGTGTTGTCATCCAAAGAATGGAAGTTTTAAATGAAACCAGATGTCATTCAGAAGCAACATTTGATTCATACTCAGAGAACAGAGTAATTTGTTTAGGTTGAAAAATTTACAAGCTTTTCGAATGGAGATTACTCTGACCTTCTAACTATTACACCCCACTCAAAGAGCTCCCAGCCCACATCCAAATCCATGGATGTCGTTTCCAATGCAAGTTTGAGCTGACAATACATAATTCACTTTGACTAAAAAGAGCCCAGTATCACATTAGAACGAAAAGAATTGTGATTTGTGTCTGCACTTCCTGCAATAAGCTCGCCTTGATCATGGGCAAACATGTGGAAGGTACGTTCCCCTCTTCAAATGTAGACAGTTCGTACGTCATTCTGTCCAAACGGTACTCCACAGCCAGGGCACTTTCGATGCCTGAGCTCCAAGTTTCGTTGAATGCAAGGGCCACAAAATAGATGATAGCACTTTGTGATAACTACCTGGAAAAAAATAAAGTAAAACAAACGATGTGTAAAACCTCAATTGACTTTATTTTACTCCTTTGGGCCTTGGTCTCATACGAGAAGTAAGATAGGGCCAAGCTGATAAATGTAGCTTGAAAACAGTGAGTACATACCTCTTTAGCTCGGTCATGACATACACTACATTTGAGAATCGCTCGGTATTCCTTGAGTTCTTCCTGTAATCTCTCTATTAATGGATTTCCATCATGATGAGATGCAAGACGAGCAACTTTCGTATTGAGGCCATCGACCTCTTCCTGTAACCTCCGTTTTTCAAACCTGGAAAATTGTACAGGTTAGAGAACACTAAGAGTATTATTATATTTTCTAAGTACATCCACATACATAATGCAACCAACTTATGAAACCATAGAGACCAAGCAATTTTCCGAGCTCCTGGCAATCAGATGAACGAAGTTACTATACACAGAAGAAGAAAACCGTTTCCTTACCTTTCCTTTTCCAACTCCCCTTGAACCTCGACTATCTTGTGCCCTCTCTCTTCGACTGTCTTCTGAGCCGCTTCTAGGGCTGCTTTGGTAGATGTCATTTCTCTCTCCACTTCAGCTGTTTTACGTTTCGCGTTTTCCAACGCTGACATATAACCCCTGCTTTCGTCGGTGGCCTTAGCAAGTTGTTCCAAGTAAGATCTTGCCTGCATGATAGCAAAATTAACCCATTCAAATTAACCCATCTCGGGGAACTCCACACATCAATGTATATCCACATTGGCCTTGAGCTGACAGAGACCTAAAACTAACTAGAGAAAAAAACTTTTCACTCACGTCCAACATCTCAATGGCCTCTATATCGACATGTAAGTTATCTCACTGCCAGCGTTAAGATCTAGTGTATAACATCTTTAAATTCTAGATTTGCAGTTTCGACATTAGCTAATCTTTATGAACATAACCACGTGACATCACATCAGTTGGTTCTTCCAAATGTCGTGTTCTAAAAAGCCAATGTTACCTGTTCTTCTTGACGAGCGAGCCGCTGCTTTTGAGTATCAGCTGAAACATGATTTTGTTCGATCCGCCTCATCAATAGAATCCTCTCTGATTGCAAATTAGCGAGAGCTTGCTTGGTTTTCAGACCCTCAGCGACAAGCTGGTAGCAACAGAGCACAATGTGAGCCGTCAAGGGGGCTACAGCCTTAGCAGATACATGTGTCTCATACAAGCAAACATACATCACAAAGTTTAAGGCTGACCCACAAATGGTGGATGCAATCACTGTTTTGTGGAGAATAAATAATAATCTAGTGTAACGAGCATCTTCACATCTCATAGACCTGCGTGGTCATGAAGACGAAGACCCTAACAACACTGTAGCAAGTGAGCGCCTCCTTCAGTTTTTCTTACCTGGACATTGTAGTCATCCCTCTCCGTTAACTGCTGAAGGAGTCTTTGATTTTGTGTTTGCATATCTTCATAAGCTTGGCCAATTGTCTGTAATGCACATATATACAACTAACTCAGCTCTTCTTCATTTTGTAAGACAACAAGAACGTGGCTATGAGAAGTCACTGAAACGCAGGATGTAATTGGACGTCTTATGCAAAACACGAGTATTTCAATAGAGTCAACAACTCTGCACAGTTTTTTGAACTTTCGGCAATTTTAACTTGTAAATAATTAATCCTCAAGTTTCAACCTACGTCCTTAAGATTTACCGCGACGAATTCTATGATCTTAACACGTGAAGATCCGACTGGCATCTATATGCATAAATAATGTGATGACTAACCTCAATCTCTGAGATATAGGCATCTCCTTCCTCGTTCTTTGCCTTCAAAGACTCTCTTAACTCCATTGCAACTCTACAAAAACACAGAAGATTTAGAGACGACAGGAGGACAACCTGGTAGGGTCATGCATAGCTACTGAACTTCCACAATAATTGAAAGAAAAGAAAGCACCAGATGGAAGATCATAATCGAGAACTGCCCTGACATAGCATGCCATCATCCACAGTTTTGATAATTCAAACAGACTGCGAAGATAACAAACCTCTCGGAATCATCTAACTGCTGTCGCAATTCTGCAATATCTGCTTCTGCCGCGGTCAACCTTTGCTGACAAGCAGCCTCGGCTTCATTGGCAGCCTTAACGCGAAGTTCTAGACTGTGCTCATCTAAAGCTGCCTTTAAGCGTTCAACTTGGGCCCACGCTCTGCATTCCGCTTGTTGCAACTCCATCACATCCCTGGGAACGTAATCACAGCAGTTATGAGCTACTCATAATTTCCACGACATCTTCAAAACGGGTGAACGAACTAACAAAAGACAATGTACCTGGGATCACTCGACTCCCTTCCGTACATTTCCAAGATAAGCTTCAGCTCTTGCTCTGTTTCTTGTAGGTTGGCAACCTGAGCAGATCAGAAACACTTCAGGATATACACTCTTCGAGGCCTTTGGCTCAAGCTTCACACCCTCAAGCGGTTTCATGGACAACAATGCATGGTGCCACCTGTCTGCCCGAGGAAATTTCCCCAACACTTCTTATATGTCCGATGCGGACCATAGTAGTATAGAGTCCAAGCAATGGTTTACAGTACAAATGGATTCCATTTAGCTCGTATAGAAGTTTGAAAGGTGGCATACCAAAAGACGCAGAAAAGTGACCTCACCTCTTCCTTTAATGCAGTAAGTTCTGCAAGACGTCCAGCGTACAAATCGGATAAAGACTGATACTCAGCTGTCTGCACTCAACAAAAGATGATAACTGACACTCGGCACAAAGGCAAAGTAAATATCCTAAAGAAGGTGGCTCAACAACAAAACAAGAATTAGACAGAACTTCATCACCCAAGTGACGTTAAAATCTGACCCAGTAATGACATTTGAACTGGACTCACCTTCCGATCACAAATGTCAGCAAGTGAGTGTACTTTAGCTCGAAGAGAATGTACTTCGTGCGCAGCTTCCTTATACTTGTCCAGCTGAAGTTGCATCATCCCCATTTCTTTATGAAGGCATGTGACCATGGCTTTGAACTCCCCCACGGACTCATTTCTTCCTGCCATATAAAAAACGAATAGATTGCGTGAGAAGTACAGACAATGTACAATATTCTATCTAAATCCACAGCAATTCCTTCCGCGTGGTTCATTATAAAACAATCACATCAAATATTATAAAGATTTTTGGCGTTCAAAAGGCTCCAAGAAGTTGACCTTGAGAATGGGCACTGTCGTCTAATCTGAATTGTAAGCTTTCCTTCTCTGCCATGCATTGCTGAAGTTGTGTTTCAAGTTCTGCAATTCGACTGTCAGCAAGTATGCTAGCCCTTCGCGCAGCTTCGCCAGCCTCCAGTTTAAACATCAACTCCCTTTCCCTCTTGATCACTGTATCACGCTCGACCTGTATTCATAAATGATTCAAGTGTGACGAGGCACAGCCAGCTTAGAGGAAGTGATAACAACTACGTGAATCCCCTTCAACCACATGTTAACAACTAGGACAACACGAGGGCACTACTTGTTCACCTGTAGTTGGTCAGACATGGTACGATACTTCTCCACTTCACTTTTGGCGGCTTGAATTTGATCACTGAGTAGGAGATAGGGTCGAGACGTAAGAACCCTTTGCTCCTCACCCAAAAGATCCTGTGGTTCAACGTAAGCGGGACAACTTAGTTCAGTGTAGGTGATGAGTACAAAGTACAAAATTTCCCTAAACCCTAAACCCGACCGTAAACTTTAAATAGAGCCACATTACACGATAAGATTATGTTTTTGAAGGAAAATCGCATACCTGCATATGATGGAGCTTTTGAGAAAGATTCATCTGCGTTTGGAGTGCTTCTTGAAGTTCAGTTAGCCTCCTGGCAGCTAAAGTCTGTTATCGATTCAAACGGTTTCACGAATCAATGACTGAAAGGATAACTAAAAGCATCAATAGATATAACTACTAGCTTTTCAAGTTCCGGCCACATAAAAGGTAATAGTTCTACTGTATCATCCTTGTTGGCAGCTTCGTCGTCGTCCACGTTCACGGAAGGTTTGATATTCTCCAGCTAAATTTACCTCCAAGCAGGCGACAAGCAAAAGAGCAACAGCGGTGATAATATCAATCTACAAGCAGATCTGATATGTACCTTAGCCTCTTCGAGTGAAGCTTCCAATTCTTTCGTCTCCTTATTCACCTTCTCCGCTCCAATCTTTTCTCCATGCTCAGTTTTTGATGTTGTATGTGGACTTGGAGTAGTCGTGCCTGCTACGGATTCTTTCTGTGTTCGTAAAGCTGCCAGCTTTCGTCTATTTGTCTCAAGTTCAGCAGTGTATTCTTCAAGTTCACCTGTATATTGATTGGGCATTTGTTACCAAACGTAGAAATATGACCTCTACACTGCAATGACTAATAAATACAGTTAAAAAAGAGGCTGTGTGGACTTAAGATAGTAGCATGGTACAGGTAATTTATGCATATCCTTAACTGGAGGCGACTAGTTTTTCGATTCTAAAAAATAATCAGAATTTTTGGTATATTGCAGAAATTTACAATCACAAACTTTCCACATTTTAATGTTGAGTGCTTCACACGAGGAATATCCTGGAGAATAAAAACTCTTACTGGTTAGTCTGGCGATTTCAGATTGATCTTTGGCATGAGTATCTTCACGTGCTCGAAGCTCATCCGCAACTTTCTTGTATTTCAAAATTAGCTCCTCCATATCTCTTCGAAGTGCTGCCCTCTCAGCTCGGAGGTCCAAATCTTCTTTCTTCAGCAGCCGTCCAGCTTCTGCAGCAGCATACGCACCAGCTTTCAGTTTTTGAGAAATAAACGTAAAAGAAAGCAAAACCGACCGATGAATCAAGAAAGATGATCGGAGACGAGACAAGACTTCCATCAGGATCGATCGTTGGATCCTGACATCCAAACAGTTACATTCAAAACACCTAAACATGCTCGGGTCAGAGGGAGCAAGATACTTACCATCATCAGCGATTCTATCTCGTAATGAGCTAGCAAGCTCTTCTGCCCTGGCACGCTGGACATCGATTGCTTGAACAAGGTACGTCAGAGTCTTCACTGTGGACGCCCTTCTGGAGGCAAGCGACACCTCCACAAAATTGCTATCGCCAGCAGAAGTGCTGCTTTCTGTCGCACCAGTTTCCAATAATCGTTGAAGAAAAGTCTTCTCCGGGGGATGCGTTGAAACTCTTTCTGCACAGCCAGAAAAAAGGCGAAGAGAAGACAAGCATTAGAGCCCTCTCCACATGTTTCCGACTAATAAAGGTCGCCGTCAGTTAGTATACCATGTACAAGTGAGAAACTCCTTCGCGATATGGAGCGCCTTGGCGAGGTGATTCCCAGTTACTGCTTGTACATATCGCTTTAATCGAAATCTTGATGCGTAATACACGAGAAGTTGACATCTAAAATGCAAAGTAGACAATGAGAAGAAGGATGATGGATATGTCCGAGTGTTTTGCCAGGGAGGACTCCGACTCGTCATCACCAAATGACAACAAAAAGTTAAGCAAACATAGATGCACTTCAGCGTAGATCGGTCATTCGGCCAACTCAGGCCCGGAACACTTATGGTACACGTTGGTGAGTATTAAGGGAGGGGAGAATGAACCCTTAAATGACGTACTAAAATATCCGAACCAAAGTAGGGTGTTTTTTCGTTAGTATGGGAAAGGAATTTAATTGAATGAGCGGAGTTGTAAAGAAAAAAGATAAACCTAGGAAAGAAACTTTTCTTTCCTAAGGGTCAATCAATACTGCAAACATGAACACAACTGACGAAGACCTCATGGATACAATCTCTGAAGGTAAGAAGCTGATAAACTTTAAGAATGAATTGTCCTGTTTTTCAGTAAGTTAGAGCAAAAATACCTTTTGCTGAGGAAAGAGGCTCCAACGGTCGCAACCCATTGACAGCCGCATGGACACCACTGGCGATTAACTCCAACTCATCCACCAACTGCAAGAGAAGCAATTCAGATATTCAAAGGCTCTGCTAGTAAGTGCGCTCACAACCGTCAAATACTCATCATGTTAAAATGACAAATACAGAGAATGAAAAGACACAGGAAGTGTAGAATGCAATTACCTCCTTCCAAACACGGTTCACCGTGATCAATGTGTCATCATATGAGGCCTGCTTAGATTTGAGCTGATTAAACTTGCCCTGCAAAGCATGAATTTCAGTTCGGTGGACATCCAGTTGCTGCGCCAATTTATGATTTTGGTACTGCAACACTGCTGCGTCAACCTGCTCATTGACAAGACGTGGAATTCATCATGTGTCTTTCGAACTTCGAACACTGTAAACGGAACTTTGTACTGTTGCAAGCACCCACTCCCGCGCCAGATATTCGATGCCTACAGATAAACTATCTAGTTTTTCTCTAGAAAAATGGACGGACCAACCCTATCGAACGGTCAAATTGTGAGAACACTCAGAATGCGACACTCGACGAAGGAGCTATTGTGGTACTTCCAATTAGGCATACAAATTGCGCTTCCCATAGCCTCGGTGACATAGACCCATTTTCCCGTTAGCGGCGACCGAACCCTAAACCAGATAAATATCACACGTTCACACATCCAAATATTAACAGAACTACTGCCGAGCTACTTCCTCTAAGAAGTCAATTCTGAAAAGCCGATTTACACGAAAAAACTCCAGAAACAGAAAGACAAGGGAGTCTCTCGCGAGTCGGGAACAACATTGTACGTCTAAAAACCACCGTACGGTCAAAGCGACTCCAAAACATAATTGAAATAACACGTGATTAAGCGCAAAGGCTCAAACCGATGGGAAGAGACCCGATAGGTTTGAGCGTAATATCACCATACAATAACATGTAAAGAAGAACACTTGATTGATCAAGAACATCGGGGAGTCAACAGGGATGCTGCAGACAATTGAACACAAACGAGGACATACCCGAGAAGTAAAACCAAAAAAACAACATACAAGAACTTGTAAAGAAGAACACTCTATTGACCAAGAATGCACATCGGGAAGTCAACAGGGATGCTGCAGACAGTTGGACACAGACGAGGACAGACCCGAGAGGTAAAACCATAAAAACACCATACAAGAACATGTAAAGAAGAACACTCTATTGACCAAGAATGCACATCGGGGATTCGACAGGGATGCTGCAGACAATTGAACACAGACGAGGACAGATCCGAGAGGTAAAACCATAAAAACGCCATAAAAGAACATGTAAAGAAGAACACTCTATTGACCAAGACTGAACATCGGGGAGTCAACAGGGATGCTGCAGACAATTGAACACAGACGAGGATAGACCCGAGAGGTAAAACCAAAAAAATGCCATACAAGAACATGTAAAGAAGAATACTCTATTGACCAAAAATGAACATCGGGGAGTCGACTAGGATGCTGCAAACAATTAAATACCGACGAGGACAGACCGGAGAGGTAAAACCATGAAAACACCATACAAGAACACGTAAAGAAGAACACTCTATTGACCAAAAATGAACATCGGGGAGTCGACTAGGATGCTGCAAACAATTAAATACCGACGAGGACAGACTGGAGAGGTAAAACCATGAAAACACCATACAAGAACACGTAAAGAAGAACACTCTATTGACCAAGAATGAACATTGGGGAGTCGACAGGGATGCTGCGGGCAATTGAACACCGTTACAGACGAACAAGCATAGAAGAATAGATGATAACAGGACAAATTAACATAGTCATAGATAACTGATGGGATCAAAGAAGTTGCAAACAATCGATCCTCACCCGCTCTATTGACTCTTCCTTTACCTGGATAGTTCTTTGACCAGAAACGACATGGATATTTTCTACCATTACAGTGAAGATAGCAAACTTTTCCAGAGGAAACGCGTGATCTGAGATGTTTCCATCATCTACGTTTCTCTCTGTAAATGACTCGTAGCAATTCGCGAAAATCTAGTATGTCTACAAATACTGCGATAAGATCACGATGATTTCAGGTTGTCCAGGACAGAGAGAGACTGCTCGGATTCAACCATTCACAACTGTGGAAGAAAAAAGTCAATCGAAGGACTTGACCCGGCGTTCTTGGAAAGTGGAGGAACATCGATACTACTTCTCCAAACAATATGGAAGATGAATGACCTTCATTTTTCGATACGTAGATACATCACTACAATTCGAAACTAGAGTGCCACAGAGAATATTAAATCTAGATGAATTGTGTAAGCTGGTGTCAGCTAAAATAGTCTGAGGACCGTAAGAATAAACAGCTGGTGTACTATTCTGCAAAATTCTGAGTAGTTATGAATGTTTGTGGAGTAAGTCAAGCCTTGATCCAAACATCAGTCTAAGAATTCCAAGGAACCAAACCAAAAACGTGCTCTCCTCAGAAACAAAACATGGAAAATATTCTCGAGATCAGATTGGACTTTTGCACTACTGCTCGCTATGCTTTCGATATTCGCACGTGCAGATTCATAAGAAAAGGCGGACACTATCCTCCAGACCCCACGAAACCTCTCTTTCCATCGTTTAAGTCGGGACTTCTTATTCAGTCGTACTTAGCAGTCACGGCAAAACGAGAGACAGGGTTGGACGTAGAAGTAAACTCGTAAAGGCAGGCCCAAAGAATGACCTCCTCTCCGGAATAATTGATCAGTTTCGGATGTTGAAACACGATATGGTATAATTGAACTAAAGCGAGAGCCCGATGCTAACTTGCAGGCCGTTGACCTGTCCGCTCCATTACCCATGAGGAGAACGGCGAACGACAAGTAATTTAGCTGGGAAATTGCCAGCCTAAGCAACTCAGACTGTTTGGAACAATCTGCTTTGGACTAAGAACCAGAGCTGAAAGGACCAAATATCCAGACACGGTTGACGCTGTTTCGAAATCAAATGCTACGTAAGTTTCATAATTGGAGTTCGGAGCTTAAATACTGTACCTTTTTGTCCTCTGAAGACGGAGCCATGGGTTGTTTCTTGAGAGGGGGAGAAACGGTATGATCATTAAGATGGCGCCTCTTCCTCTCAGGTTCTTCAGTGCTTCCCATGCTACTCCGGCCCTGTAGCGGCGCATTATCGGGCCTTGTCTTCGTTACAACAGCTGCCCGTGTGATCTCCAGTTCGGAAATTTACAATCAAAACTCGGTGGCAGAAACCTAAAATTGCAGAAATATCGTGGCGCAAGAAGTGTCAACATCCGCGCTATGCCCACCTGCAAACGCTATAGAACCTGCGTCTCGAACTCTATGCTTCCAGACATGACCTCGGGTTCCTCCGTACTGTGAAGTTCACCACACATGATGGCCACGGGAGCGTCCAATTCTAAAGAACGGCGCGACCTCCTCCAGAGCGATAACGAACACAAAGATGACAAGAAACTACAAGAGCACCACAAAAAACCGGAACCCAGGCCAGCACCTCGAGCCGCTCGACTCCAGCCTTGGCGAATTGATGAGAAAGCTCAGGCAAATGCGGGTCAAAGTGGGCGAGCGAGACTGAACACCAAAATCCTGGCACAGCAAAGCGGCCGCATGTTGTGGACGATTGCGCGACAATGGAACGAAGAGAGGTGCGAGGGAAAAGACGAGCGACTTAGCGAGAGCAGGAGAGAAGGCAGGAGCGAGACAGGACAGAGAAGGAAGAAGAATTGCCAGGCGCCAGAACCAAAGGGGCCGCGATGTGAGGAGGGAATAAAGTCGGAAAGCGAGAGCAGGCCCGGGCCTCCCCTGATATAGTGAAGTGAGATTGTGTGGGCGCCCCCGGCAAGCGAGCCAAGCAGAGAGGGAATTGGAGGACCCCCTCCTTCCCTCTCCTCTGCCCCTCACTTGGCTCCTCCTCTCCGAAAGGAGGCTCCCCGCCCCGCCATCGCCTCCCTCCGCTCTGCGTTTCGCTGGACTTCTGTTCTCAGACGCCTGGGCGACTTTAGCAGGTCACCGTGGCCGGTCACCTGAGGAGTTGCTGTGACTCCTCACCCTCCACATTCGCTCGCTGCATTTCATGTTGCGGCGGCGACTCTTATCAAAAGCATCGGCAGAAAAGCGCCTGCAAGCAAGCACTTGCCGTCCCACATATGCACACACATCGATCGTATCACCGTTGTGAGAGAATGCCAGATGAGCAGCTTTGATACAAATGACAACAAGGACACGGGTCCCTCCCATCGACCTGGTAAGACTGAGAGGTTTTGGATTAATCAAGTGGAACTTATGTCGACCATTCTTGCATATGAGGTGAGATGTGAAACCGATAAGGACGTGGAAAAGCTTCATCGAAAGTGCATTCCAAGCCTCCAAATAAAATATATCGTCTGAAAAGTGATGGGAGGTTTAAACTATGGCAAACACATGAGAGACATCAATAAGCTGGACCAGCGCGTGGACCTTGTACACGGAGGCAAATTTCGGGCGATTGATATAAAGTGGTCTGTACATTGCGTATGAGATTAGGGGCGAGAATCATCCGGAATCTTGGCGTCAAGAGTGGGCTCTAACATGTCGGAAGAATTAGAGTGGCTGTAAACTCGTGGGGAATAAACTGGACCGGTCTTCGAGTTACAGGCTGCTGCCGTTGATTCGGTCGTTTGAAGGTTAGATGCGGCGAATAAGCTGAAAGGTGTATATCCGTCGGTTATCAGTTCTTGAGCTGCAATGCAAACTCATGAGCTTTCGGATCGTCAGGTCCTCCACCTGTGCGACCGTGTTCCATGGCCCAGAGTATTCACAACAGTCTCCCTCAGTTGTTACGTCTACAGTATACTGCTCTGTACATGAGGGGGCCACCAACCGAGGTCGACCGACTAAATCCGAACGCCAGCTAAGCGTCCGCAGTCTTGCCAACAATGGACGTCTCTTCCACCGCGTACTGCTTCGCGGCTGTTTATCGGAAGACGTTGTTCTACATTTCCGTCCCCTTCACTTCTGGTCGTCAGTTCAATCAGCTGTCTGAGTTTCACTCATCCTTTTCTCGGTTCTTATCGAGCCGACGGTAAGTCGAGTTTGTCGGACTCTTCATCTTAGTGTTCTTTGCGGATATATTGACACATGTCTCAGTTGGATCTTCGTTGTGAAGAGATCGCCGCCCCACACAAACGAACATGTTACCCTCTTCACCGATCCTGAACAAAAGTGATGTCCAGAACGCGAAGAACTGAGATAGCATGTATGACTGCATTCCCTTCAGATTCAGCACCCAGTATAGAATAACTGGGTTCAAAATAGATATCTCATATCCACCTACTTACCCATGTCCGATTGGCCACAGCACGTGACGCCACATATCAATGAAATTTTTATTCAGCGCGACCACTCTAATATATACACTTTCTCACATTTGTGCAGGTAGAAAATGAAACTTAATATTCTGCTTTTGCATAGTTACATACAACTGTTCTGTGTAGAAATGGAACGGAAGATACTATTCAATTCCATGTAAGAGAATAAACTATTTGTGAAGGAGTACATTGATATGAAGAACAAAAAGGGGCCAAGTAAATAGGATTTCTCTTTTGTGAAGCGAGGCTGAGTTCTACCAGTGGAAGCTAGCAAATAGCTGGGGCGTTCAGAACCTAAGGTGAGCCTCTTACTGCACATCGTGAGGATCTCTAGTGTCAATCCAGTTACAAGTTCTTTGTTATATCTCCTTCAGTATGTCTATCTCGCAACGGACCTGGTACCCTGCTTTTCAATAGTTGTGAAGTCTGGTTTCTAGCTCATTGTGCTGATGATACCCGTGGATATTTGCTTGTGTAGGTACTGTTTGTATGTCAGTAGCTTTGGAACAAAAGAGTTTAGGAAGAGGATTTTGGCTTAAATTTTGGAACATCTAATTGAAAAGGGAGAACATCTAATCTATAGATTTCACAATTAATTGTGAAAGCTTTCATAACATTTTCATGTGTGTCCATGCCGCCGGAGTTAGGAGTTGTATGCAGTTCCAAGTGGTGTGCAGAGTAAGCAAGCTATTATGTTTTTTGAAAATAAGAAAACACAATCGGATTAGGCTTCAATATTATCACGGTGGAAAATATGTCCTGTAGCACTTAATTTATCCACACTATCAAATGGTCTACAGATGACATTACTTTATGAGATTGTAGAGTCACATCTATGTTCACACCGAAATTGGATCACATTTCCTTCAGCCTACCGACACACTCATTTCCATCTTCCTCGTTGTTCTTGCACTTTCTCAAGCTGCAAGCAGATTAAAAACACCTCCTACGAGATGAAGTTGCTGGCAGAATCATCAAATTTTCTCAATCCAATCTCTGTTATCTATTTATTGGCATGATAAACGAGTCGTAGACTGTGTTCTGTAAAGTTCTGTCACAATGTTATGTAAGGTTTGGCCATTTCGGCCTCTACCCCTTCTTTTGCTCAGTCAAATAATTGCTCATTCAATCTCTACGGAACCAAATCATATTAGTTCTATTCTATTGTATCATATTAGTTCAAGTTTTGCTATACCAAAAAAAATCTGATAAATTAATATGTTTATTTATCTGTAATTTATTATTTTTCAATACAAATTACATTATGATTACTGAATAAGTATCATAATTTAATTTTCTCGAATTGTTTTTTTATATTAAGATAAATATATTTTATTCTACTTAAAATATTACGAATAAACATATATACCAAATTGTACATGAGAGAGGCTTGATAGATCCGTCAAAGAGAAACTTGAAAAACAGGAATCCGTACATAGGTTATAAATAATATCTTAAATGTGAGTATCATCATTTATTTTATCTAAAATCAAATTATAATTCACATTTATCATCATGTTTATGTCTTTGTAAAATGAAGATGAATGAATTAAATTAACAGAAAATGAATAAATTACAAGAAGTAAGTAAATAAATAAATAAATATGTATATATTCACTTTTCCAATAGAAATCAAATTTTAAAGATAAAATTCAATTTTAAATATATTTTTGTTACACAAATATTTAAAATATAACTCTAAGATGAAACTCCCATTATACTTTTATGGAATTAACCTTATTTCAAATGTAATATTGTTTTAGATTTCATTTCTATCAACATTCGATATGTATACAAAATTACGCAAAACTTATAAAGTAATCTTTAACATTATAAGATAAATTGACTTATCGCATAAACATATAAATCGCAGAAGATGAAAGTCTCCAAATATCGATGTGATCAATGAGCTTTTATGTAGAATTACTTCAGACATTGCTGCATTTTTCTACAATTATTTTATTTTGAATTTCAGTGTGCGTATTCGTGACACAAAACACATACGAATGAAAGCTATATGATTATATGTTGGTACATGTTTGGATTGTATGATTGTATAACTTTGTACATTAAAGTGTGAAGACATGAATTTGATTCTTCTTTGACATTGTTCTTTGCTAATAATTTAAACTTTTACCAATGCCTCTTATGGTAGTCGCCCAATGTACTTTAGATAGCACATGCTATTTTTGAGAAATATATAATATCAAGTTTTTAAAATATTATTGAATATAGGAAATTACTATGTGTTTCTTAGCATTGTAAAAGATATTTTGATTTTTATATCCAGGATTGAAATTTATCTCTAAAAAAATATTATTTCAACATTTTTGAACATATATTAAATGCTAAAAATGTTATGATTAAAATTATAACATATTATCATAAGAACCTTTTACAAAATTTCACATTTCATCGAATTGAAGTTCTAGTGTATATATATAAAACTTATTAATGTATCTTGCTTCTATATTGTGTAATTAAATGCAAAAAAGTGTTCATCATGCAAATGTTTTTAAGGAATAATTTAATAGTGTATATATATTTGTTATCATCCATAAATTAAAAATTTAAATGATTTCATATAACTATATTTAATCAAGAATGTCTTGCTTTTTTCAGTAGAAGCCAAGAATGTGTGTTTATTCCAATATTTTGTATAAATCATTTATAATCCAAATTGATTTTTCCCAATATTTCTAACAAATCAATATATTTGAAATCATTTTTTAAATCTCAAATTAATTTTTATTAAGCTTGCGGATATTTTATTTCTTCAATTATATGATTTAAAATATTAATTGGTATTATTATTTAATCATGTTGATTAAATATGTTGTATGTTATGTTGTATCAGTATTCAAATAAAAATATTTTACTTTATATTATGGATATATTAAACATGAACTTCTAAATTTTATAAAAGTGTTTTTCAATCTACTACTTGATGTTTATACATTTTACTACTCTTATTTTAATGATTGTGCTAATTATTTGATAATATATAAAAAATCCATCATCCACTTTGTAAACTTAATCAAACTTCTCATATGCTAAATAATCATGTTGAAACTTTATCAAAAATGTTTATCCATATGTCCGATTTATGTTTTTCTTACACTAATTTTTTGTATGTTGTTGACGACATGCAAGTTTTTTTTGTTTCTAGTTTTTCATTACGCTACTTTTTAGTACTTTTTTATTTGTATCTCGACGGAGCACCTCCAAACTGTAAGATCGGGTATTGCACATATGTACTAAGTTTTAGAAGCGGTCAAATGATTAAGGATGATTAGCCAAGGCATAGCTAAGTCTAGCTAGTTATGACCAAACTAGTTAATTATAACTAAGTTTATCTAGTCATGACTAAGTTTAGTTATAATGTCTATAGTTGGCGGAAAAATATGCGGAGTTCTAGAAGAGTGGAGTGAACACGTCTATTTTGTCTTCTAGAAAAGAGTGAGCACTTCTATTTTGTCTTTTACAAAGTTCTAGATTCCAAGAAATTAGATATTTGACTAGAAGCTTGGATTTGATTGGTTTGACTAAATGTGTCAAAGATGATTGGCTAGACTAAGTCTAATGTTGATTTAGTGGATAAGAAGCTTGTAGAAGTTTGTAGAAGCTTCCAATGGCATGTCGCCACCTCAACCTTGGATTTCGGAAACTTCTAGAAAGTTTAGCTAGGCCAATGGCTTGT